GTCGTTCTAGCAGCAATGTGTTGGCTTGTTTAAAGGATCGATTTATTCGACACCAGTCAGCTCACAGATCAGATGGGATAGCACAGGTTTACACTACTTAAAATGATAAAAATTTAAACACTGAAAAAACATCCAAAATCGTTAGTCCCATTAGTGATCTTGGGGCGTGCAGTCAGTGTACCCAAAACCGCAGCTGCTTGTTTAAAGTCATTTATTCTTATGTGTTACATCACGCGTGTCACACGGAGCCGCTGCTGCAACCAGCCGTGCGGTTAGTCTGGTCGGCGAAATGTATGGTTGCGTGCATGGTGCAGGATAATTCGCGGAAAGAGAAAGCGCGAAAGATTGTGCTGCAGGAGAAAGTGGAGGAAGTTCGGCGGAGAAAGGAGCGGATGGTACGCCGACTGACGGAATGGCGTTGCAGCCTCGGACGCGCGGGGCGTTTGAGTTAGTGAAACTGCACGGTAATATTTGCTATGGCTGATTCTGATTTGGGTTGGATTGAGAATTTTGTAACAGACTTTGTGAATGTGACAAGGCAAACTGTATTTTAATTATTTCCTGTTTTCTTAGATTTCCTTAGTTATTTGTTTTTGGAGTAACCTCCAGTAGTGTGAGCAACTTTGTGACGTTCGAAAAGCAACAAGGTGTCGATAAGTTCGTATCGTTCTTCTAAACTGCATTTAAGACGTATGCATACGTAGCGCCAAGTCCCTCGGGAAGAATCTTGGAAAAGCGCAAAAGCAATAAAATCGGGCACATCAGGGAACCAACGTTTCATCATTTTATGGTCACACGCAGCTAGAATCAAACATTTACTCAGCAGACAGATAATTAATGATCACGTCGAAATTAAAACAATTAGTGCTAAAGTAATTTTCTAGGTGGCGTATGCTACAGCAATAGGATGCAAATGCTAAAGTAACAGACAAAAATCTGTAACAGAAAAAAATCCTTGCGAACTGAGCTATCCGAACGATAACGAATGCTACGAACCCAACCTCTATGACGAGGCGCATACGAATCACCCGGATTTAAGTGTGCTCAGAAGGCTCACGTATATGTCAGGAGAACTCCACGAAATGGGGCAGTCCAGTCGAAGGCAGTCGCCGTCGTGTAGTGCGCTTACGTAAGCATACATAGCACTTAGGCAAGTTCAATTCCCAATAGGTGCAGTTTTCATCGTTTACTCTGGGCGGCGTTCTCCTGAGAGATAGGTACATAAATCTAATTGGCTGGCATTTAAGTCGTACTTATAAAGGTCCGAATCGCTTGGCTCGCTTCTTCATTCTGTCAGGCAGAATGTTATGTTATCGTCAAAGCTTGGCATCGTCTCCGCTCCGGTCTGTTCTCCAAGCCATACTAGGTACGCGAACAAGCTTGTCCGGTAATTTCCATCGAAAAGGTACAGCTAACGTGACATTTGCGCTTATAGCGATGGCCACTTAACTACATTCGTCAAATTTCCTAAATGCGCTCCGCAGTTAGATTGTCGCTTACTGCACCGACCATTTTCTACCCACCTTCCGCCAGGCAGTTACTATTATTCTCGTTAAAATTTTAAATTATCTGGTGCACCAAGCCAGCCAAAAGCATGTTACGTGCTTAAACAGTGTGGCGTGGCGCGCTGTAGTATGAAGTTTGGCGTAGCCTGTGAATTTGTGTATGTCGCTGTTCTGATGCGGTGGAAATTGAGTTTCTGGTTTAAGTCCTCGCCCTCTACCCCGCCGGATGCAATTGAATCGCTACGTTGTTCAACCGCTGGCAGATCGCTACGTTGTTCAACCGCTGGCGTTCGAAACTACGGGAACATTCGGACCGCTGACGAAGAAGTTCTTTAAGGATTTGTCGAGAAAGATCTGTGACTGTACAGGCAACCCTCGCCCAGGGGAATTTTTGCGTCAGAAAATAGGTATCGAGATTCAGCGAGGAAATGCAGTATCTGTTCTCGGTACTTTTAGTGACATGGTGGAGAAGGAAGAAGTGTATTTTGCCTTCAAATTAGGCTATTAGCTATACGGTAATGATGTCAAGGATTGTTGTTCTTTTTACTTGTGTAATACGCGATGTAATTCAATAAAGAAGTCTCACTGAAAAAAACTATGCGTACGATTACAAGTGCATACGGGTACATACTCGAAGTACAAGGAAACTTTATCTGCATCTTGCGCTGGATATCAATAGTTGCATTACAGCCCGTCGTACATGTAGAAAAAAATGAAAATATTATAATAAGTGAATATGTAAGTACTTAAAAAGCACAAACATAATATGCTACTGGAATGTAAGTATATGCCCGATATACCAAAATGCGTACTTACCTTTGAAAGCAAGTACATGTAATTTACCAGAACTGATCTGACCTTTATTCGACCTTTGGAAGTTCGCCATGTCGTACGGGCTCTCCGTGCACGCCAGGACGTGGCGCGAATGATTATATCCGCGCGAAATTACTGGAAATTATTGATCTATCACTTGACCCCGATAATGTCCCCTGATTTCATCTTCTGATTATGCGTGTTGATCGTACGAATGGTTCTCTGCCAGTGTCTATTGGGAGAAGCTCCTGATCGTGTATCTCACGTCGACCATTGCGATCGCGCTACTGAACGCTCCAGAAACGAAAAAAATATTAAACAGAAGAGCCCAGCTGATAAATTGCTCAGTCAACCTTCTATTCAAAAACCTCCAGCTGCGGTAGACAATGAGCGCTCTCTAAAGGAAAACAGTACAGTAGTTGCGATTGACATTATTTATTTGCAGCCAGCTCCGAAAGGGCCACCACCGATCACTTCCCATTATGCTATCTACACGCAGCCCAATAAAATCCCTCCGCGAACCGATCACAGTACGCGCTAACCGTTTTGAGCATCCAATTATTCGAAAAGTAAAAAAGATCAACCTTTTAATTTTAAATACTTTTATTTTGCGCATATATCTTGTACTTGAATTTTAATTACGGTTTCTATTATTTTTACTTTTCTTGATTCAGTTCAGGATTTATGCTTATAAGTCATTTTTTGTTTTCCTTAGGTTCGGTGAAGAGTGCCAAGACCACTCCCAGCTTTAAATCAACGAGATCCTCCGTCAAAGCGCAATGGAACACTGGTTCGCCCCAACCTACCAATACCTTAAAGCACCCAGCACCGCCTCCGCCCGACGCCCGCTCGCTTTCCTCCGGGAGATCATCGAAGTCGGGTAGAAGCAGTCCGGCGCCGCGGCGACAGGAGGCCCCAACTAAAACCCTGGGTGAGCTCTTGGTTCCTTCGAGCTCCAACCACAGTTCAGCCAAAGGGAAGAATGTTTATCGCTCCAACAGTGCCCTTCAGATTTCTTTCGCCAAGAGCAACCACGATCTCGAGGATTTCTATGCCCGTATGTACCCTTTTCTAAAATTCTGAAAGTAGTCATATTATGACGGTAATCTAGATTAAGAAATAATCTTACTTAAATCATTTTCCCTAATACACATTAGATATTATCAACAAGTTTTTAGCGAAAGATAGATAATTACATAAACTAGAAAGTAAAAATACAGACTACATAGTCAAAGCACTGTAATAATCAAATTTTTGTTCATCTTGAACACAATAGAACATCCGGGATACGAAGCGGACGCCATTGAATCCAAAGGCTTCATCGTCCCATCGCGCAGTCTCACACAGGAAGACTATGAGAGCTGCCTTCCGCCCAGCGCATATCCGACTGCCAACGCGGAATCATCCCGGGTAACGGTGCTTGTCGAACGGCCCGACAGCGCCAGCAGTCATAACAATCAGCCGGCGCAGTGGAATTCTGGGACGTTTCAACATGTCGTGGACACACAACGTAATTATTCATTACCGTTTATTGAAGTATGGTAAATTTGGCTGTCTAAACTCTAAAGTACAGACAGGTAAGAGATATACTCAGCTTTTTGGTACAGCTATTTAGCATGCTAATAAAATTAGGTGTATCCGTGTATATGTTGCAGCTAATTTTCAATATGTATGACGCATTTGTAGTTGTAACAATATTAGTAAATCATTTTCAAAATAAATACGAGTATACTGATGAACAATATTATTTTTCAATTTGTAATATTTTTCCATAATCAGTTTTGGGGTGATAGATTTTTTGGTGTTATGGTTCAGTCGGTTGTGATCAAAATGTTCGACCTCTTTGAAATTCAACTTCACAAAAATTAATTTCCAGCGATCCCGGCGCCGCATCTTGACCGTGACGAACCGCAGCCGTACGACAGTGCGTCCGTGAAATCGATATTATCCATGAAGTCGAAGTTGTCCGCGAAATCGCGGGTTTCGCCAGTGTCACAACGCTCCCGCGTATCCTCCAGTAAGAGACAAGAAATTCAAATAAATCACCCATTTATCTGAAAACATTTCATCGGAATTTTTAGAAAGTCCGTCGCCGGTAGCGCGTTCGCCGGTATACGACAACGAGGAGCTGGACGACAATAATCCCTTTGCCACGGAGATCCGGCGGCCGCAGTCGCGCAGCTCCCTGGAGTCCAACGGGCGGAAGGTATCCGACCGGAAGTCCCCGTCCAAGAACAGTCTAGGCAGCGTGCACGAGCAGTAAGCTGCGACTGCTGTGATCGCCTTATTACTGGGTTTTAGCTTTAATGTTTTTCCTTAGTTATGGCCATGCGGTACATCGACCGGTGCCTTATTATTAATTCCCCCTGCTAATTGGTTCTCTGAAGCACTACTTCGCTTTTCGTCGGAGAGCGATATTGTGCTGGAATTTGCTGTATTGTGCGATCTTTCGTGCTTAGTTGGTGTGTTTGGTGTATTAGTGCGGGAGATACTGAGATCTTCCGCTTTATTTAACAACGGTGCTGAAGTGTTAGAATTTTGCGATTTGTTTTATAAAATCTTTGCTTTGATTATATGGGAGATTTTGAAGTGCCAATAAACAAAGTTGTATCCTTTGCGAAATCGTTTTAAAGGTAATAAGTAACACTCTAGTTCGAAAAGTACTCGTACGTACAATCTGACGTAACACTGCATAGCGCTCGCCGTTACCAATAATCTTGCAGACACTTTGACAAAAGGTTAATTCGACACATTTCACATCAATGTATTACCGTGCACTAGCGCTATTTCAGTATTTTACTGTCGACTTTGAAAATTAACGTTACCCATTGAAAAAAGCGTGAGTTTACAGATAGCTTCCGTTAAGCGCATTCAGCTGACCTTTCTATTCAGTAAGATACAGTATTCACTGCATCTTCTCGGCCATAATCCGGAAATATGGCGAAGAAGTCGTCGTTAAAAGATGATGACAAGCGGAAGAAATCATCGGTTAAAGGATGGTGAGAAGAGGAAGAAGTCCTCGATTACAGATGGCGGGACCAGGAGAAAATCCTCAATTAAGGATGATGGAAAGAGAAAAAAATCCTCAGTTAAGGATGACGAAAAGAGGAAGAAATCCTCGACTATGGATGGAGAAAAGAAGAGACCCCGCCGCAAGACATCAACCTCGGAGCGGAAGGCTTCGCGTAAATCCAGGTCGGGTTCGAAAGGTTCGATAAGCAGCAAGAGTGGCCGTCATCGCGAGACCAGCTAGCCTCCGTACGATCCAAAACGGCCGTCGCGAAAGACACTTTCGGGTGCCACCAGGCGAGAAACTGACGATTCGCTACAGGTTAGAAAAATCGTGCGTAGGCTTTTCTACGAGTACGTCATGTTACTTCGTTTCAACAATTTCCTGACTTGTTCTGGTGTATCTCTTGCTTTTATTCAGCCGTCACCGTTTGTTCCTAAGATCGGAAGACTATATTACTTCACTGTGGACCTACACGTGTCCTTTAAAAATAACTTAGCTGGATAATTTCCACAGTAAAAAATAATTTTTGCATAATTGCGGTTTATTGATTTGTCCGTTGTATTACCTAGCTATTTTTGTTGTTTCTTTTTTAAATTTTTCTATTTCCGCTCCTTGGCTCAGCTAGGTACAGAGTACTTTCAACTTTGCCGTGATATTCTCTTAATTATTCACTTTTGCATTTATAAAATTCTGTTACCAGCCTGTATGCTTCTGTTTTCAGGGGAAAATCTCTTTCGCCATTACTAGCCGTATTTTCGTGCAGCAAAAATAATTTCCGTGACAATATATCAATCATTTAACGAATAACTAATACGGTATCGTTATTTTAATTTTTTTTATTTAGTGATACAGATTTTTTGTAAGTTTAGACGGACTAACTCGTGTTCTCTTTGAGAAAATATTTGTATTTACAGGTATCAAACAGCGGCACCGAACTGGCCATTGCCCAGAACCCTCGGTTATCCGCTGTCTCCTCCATTCCGGTTGACCTCGGCGCTGTCGTCTCGCAGCGCAAACTCCAAGAAGCCGAACGCCTCCTGCACCAAATGAGCGCACCGGCGCTTCTCCAACTAAAACGTCTCCTCCGTGGTAAAGCCGACGCGGTACAGCGCGACCTCGCTCTCCTCGAAGAGAACGAGACAACCCTCTGCGAACTGGGCACGAAGCTCCAAGAAGAGAAAAGCACACTGGAAGACGACAAATGCCGGTTATCCGAGCAGCTGACCATGATGCGCGACAATCTGTGCAAAGTGACTAACTTCAGTTGCCAGATATTTGAATTACGCGGCGGCGCCGTGATGGAGGAGACGGTGACGGATCAGTGGACGGAGCGAGCGGATATGCTGCAGAAAATGGAGCGGATGATTGCCAAGGGGATCGAGGAAGACGCCAAGGTCACCAAGGAGTTTGAGGCGGCGGAGAGGGACTGGCAGAAGTTGATGCTGGAGTATGCCGGGTATGAGCAGCAGATTGTCGCGGCGCACAACCGCCGCGAGGATCTACAGAACCAGATTAGAAATTATGAAGAGTTGTCCAAGAAGCAGGAAAGTCAGTTGCGAGAGCTGAAGTTGTTGCGGAAGGAGCATGGGGATGAGATGTCGAATCGTGCGGCCGGAATTGCGCTGCTCAGGCAGAAGGTCATCGAGCAGCTGGGGCCGGAGTATTCGCTAGACAGAGTGGATAAAGTAATTACAGGTGCGTTTCAGTTTAAATTGATTACTGAACTCATCTACTCGTACTTTCAACACTTGCTATAAAAGGAATTAAAGTAAATTATTTAATTTATTTACTTGGAAACTATTTATAAAAAAGTTTTCTCTTGCCAAATTTTTCTAGAAAGCTAATTTTTCTGCCAAAGCTTTTTCAGAAAGTTGTTGCTTGCTTGCTCGTGCGTAAAGTGACCAGCAACTCGATAAATTAATGATTTTACCTGGGAAAGCAGTTTTTGCCAAACTGTTTTCTTTAAAAATTTTCCTAAAAGTCACCAACAGCACTTTAGTATAATTATTTTAAATGAAATCTCTACCGAATCGTCTATCATCACTGCGTTTTCCCATAAAGGTCACCAGCAATTCGAGCACGATTTAGAGGAGACGCTAGTGGAGGTGCAGGCGTTAGTCATGCAGGTGGAAAGCGACCGACGAGATTCGGCAGCATGCGCTGGAAGTGGTGCTGGAGAAAGCGCAGAAGCCGGGACACCACGGTGTGGATGAGAACATCTGGGCGGAGATTGTCCGCACGCCCATCAAGGTCTCGGAGACCGGGCTGAAAGCGCGCGTAGCCGATTTAACGGATATGGTGCAGTTTAAAGATAAGGCACTGGCGCAGCTACTGGGCGAAAAGGATGATGTGCGCTCGGTGGAGGAGAAGACGGAGGTCGACGAGGCCGATGCGCTGCCGAAAATTCCCTCCGATTACTGGTATGCCATAAGCTAGTCCGTGTATGACCGCATTGGTTTATAAATAGATACATTAGCACCATATTCACGCTTCAAGAACATTATGTAAAGAAAATATAATTTCAGGAGTCCAGATGATTAATCGGTAGTCGATGCCAAATGGAGACCATCGTTTATTACATGGCCAAGCATCATCAACCACATTCTGATAAGTACGGTAACGTTCAGCATGCCTTGCAGTTCAGCAGCTGGGATAGAAACTTTACTGGGTTGTCTGCTCTTTACGCCTTTTAAGTTGCCACAGAAACACCTAGACATTGCATTTCGAAATGTAACAGGGACATGACGTTGCAAGTCAGTTTTAAAGGACATGAAGAGCCTACCACGGCTAAAGTACTGATAAAAAATTCTATAATTAGAGTTCTTATTTGTATGAAAAGGAGAAAGCATGAATTTTTAGTGTAACTGCTCGAATGCCTTGTCCCAAGCTTTAGTTTAACCGTTTTCTGACAAGTGGATTAAAGTTGCTGTCAGTTTCTGCCAGTTTAATAATAGTAATTAGTAATTAAAGTTTCCTTCGGCATTCAGTATCAGTGGATTGTTAATCGGATTTAACTAGTTTGATGGCATTTGTGTTTTGCTTCTTTTGTGAATCTGCGATCAGTTGTTGTGAGCTGTAATGAACAACGAAGAAGAGCAATGTAAGCAAATTGGCAGCCGGCTGTCATTATCTTATTTCTGCAGGACTGCCAATTTGCCAGCTATCTGTTATAATAATTTGACAGTGTTTAAATCTTGCAGCATGTACAACCGACCCCACGGTCGTCTCTCAGTGGGCAGCGGCGGCACATTCCGCCGCGATAAACCGTAAAAAATTATGGACACCGCCCACGATGAACCGCGACACCCTGCGGCGGATCTGTCGTACCTTGAAACTGTACAACACACCGGAACTAAACGATGTCCTTTATCTGAACCACCAAGGTATTTGATAAATCTGTAGAAACAATAATTAAAGTAGACTAATAGCTTTATGCTGCATGTTTTGGTACGAAATGCTTCATAGCAGCGTTAACCATATGAAGGTTTTTCAAAGATCGAAAATCTGGAGGAGTACACCGCGCTGCGCTGCCTCTTCCTGGGTTCCAACGGACTGGAGCGTATTGAGAATCTCAGTCATCTTCACGAGCTGCGCAGTCTGTTTTTACAGCATAACTTCCTGACCCGCATTGCCCATCTGCACGGGATGCCACGATTGGCCAATCTGAGCTTGAGTCATAATCGTATCTCGCGGATTGAAAATCTTAATAAGTAATCCACCGCATCCGCCTGTTTTAAGCATTTCTAAAGACCGTACACTTTCGTCCATCGAACAGTTTCCCGTATCGATTTTTATTACTTATCTAAAAGGTCACGTGACGGCGAGATGCTTTCACTGGGCTTTCATTTTGTGCACGTGATAGTATTTGATTTTCCGATTTTTCCCATTATCCAAAGGTCATTTGCAAGAGCTGTGTTCGCTGGAGATCGCACACAACGCGCTGGCGACAGTGGAGGATCTAGCGCATCTGGCGGAGTGCCGTTCGCTGGAGATTCTGGATATCTCCAACAACCGCCTGGAGGATCCGCGGATTGTGGATATTCTGGCGGGCATGCCAAATCTGAGTGTACTGTACTTGACCGGGAATCCGGTGATCGCCAAAATTCCCAATTATCGCAAGACGCTGATCTGTCGTATTGCCACGTTGAACCATTTGGATATGAACACGGTGTTCCCCAGAGATCGCGCCTGTGCAGAAGCATGGTAAGTCACGATTTCATCGGAAAGCGTAAATACTTTGTCACGGGTTGCCTGTGTTTTTCTGCTTTTTTTCTAAACGTACTTCACAAATGCTGAAATAAACATTGATAATAAAAAAAATGATTGGTTAAAATGGAAAACTAATAAAATTACTAAGCATCAGAAAATAAAGTTAAGAACAAGAAAACGAAGATAATTATCGAAATTAATAAAAATAAATTATGTTGATACTACGAGTAAATAAACGCATGAAATCTGCAACAAACAACAACCACTGCCTTTTGAATTGCACCCGCTATTAAAAAACGTTTTAACAGGTATCGTGGTGGAAAGGAAGCGGAGCTGGAAGAGCGCTCAGCCTGGATTAACAAGAAGCACAAGGAAACACAAGAGAGCGTTCAAAGTGAGCATCAATTTCAATCGTACCAAGCAGACACCACTGTACCAAGCACTGACATGTTTTCCAGATCTTCTGGCATTACGCATCAACGCCCAGATTTGCAAAAGCGCCGTGGAGGACATCGTTAGCACCATAGAGCGAACCGAAAAGTACGCATCGATTTTTCCTCTATCAATAGTTGCAATAATATTGTTGACCTTTTTTGTGCTACAGTGCAGGATCGGGTGATGCGAGGGTGAATCTCCTGGAAGCGTACAATTCTGTTCAATCCGAACCGTAAGAATCACTTCAGATAAGAATTCAACAGCTTTTTTCTACGTTTTTTTGTAGACAATCTGCCGGAGATGCGCCACATGTCACCGACATTAAACCTAGCCAAGAACGGTGCCCGTACGGATATCTAGAAGAGGAGTATGTTTTCTTTTTCTGATCTATCCCGCTAGCTTAATAACGCCTTTACATTTTCGCAGGATTCCACTCGAAGAAGAGAATTTAACTGCAGCTCCAGCTTTGGAGGAAGCGTATACGGTGCAGCACACCGATCAGTTTCCTCTTTTACCGGCACAGCATGACGAGGAAGTAATCCCTCAACGCCATACTGAAGAATCCGGTGATACCCTCGATTACGGCGCTGATATGCACCAGTCCGAAGGGATATTCGCCGGTGACAGCCCGAGTGATGCGGTCCAGCTGACAAAGACGTTAGCACGGATGTTTGGCGCCATGCAAACCGATGACGGCGACTATGCCCCGCCGCTATCGGGTGGCGACAACGCGATCAGCGATAAGTCGTTGTATCCACTGGGACGCGGGACATACCAACAGCTGCCGCGCTCGGGTCGGCCTTTAATTGAAGTCATCGAGTCGTACGATCACTGAAACGTAGCACGGTGAAGGGACAATCAACCCACCGTTCGTACACATCGGTTTGTTCAGAAAAGGTCAGGGTTTCCCGGTTTCAGACCGGCAGATATAGTTCGAACAGGAGAACGGTATACAAGGAGTACGTGTCAATGAAAAAGAACGGTGATCAACCAACGAAAAGCCAAATGCGTCGACTCAACTTGACGACGCCAAATTAATTTTGGTGAAGAATGCAGTGGTTGATTCGCTGTATGAATTTAAAGACGAGCTGGTTAAGTTCAACAATTTTATGTAAGCAATGATAAAACTTAAAACAAATTTTGTTTCCTTCATGATGCGTGTAATGTAGTCGGTGCTGTTTGCAGTCTTTTTTGCGGCGATATACCCAATCACAGCGTCATGTGGCAAACGATAAACCCTGGCAAATGCCAGCAACCCGAATTACGTCTAAGGTTTCTGGCATACAAATATATGCAGACCTAATGTAGCGTGGATTCATCTTTTTTGATTCGAATAAATTTGATACGGGAGATGCCTTCTTGATTAAATTTGTAACATATGTCAAATTCGGCCGCGGCGCCGGTCTGCATTCATCTCGTATGATACGTGGAGTACGAATTTTTTGAAAACCGCTGTTACTTGCAATTTGTTCGGCTCACACGAATTAATCAATGTATTAATTTAAATCAACCTTTGTAATTTGAAGTTGTTTAAATCTAGGAATTTTTTAATCTTGGCGCACTTGTTGTGCTGCTTAGCAACGTTACCACCCTCGCTGGTAGTAGCTTCTAACGGCCGGTGCACAGGAAGCAAACGTTCGCACTACGAGTACCAGGCTCTTTTTCTAATATACAGACTACTAATTTCAATGAAACTTTCGCACGATGTCAAATTCGTTCAGCTATTCCAATTTGGGCATTGAAATGACTTCAAATTTTGAGGTCAAATCCGTCAGTAATTGGTTTTATTGCTGGATATGATTAATTTCAGAATAATCATTATTAATTCAATGACCTCCGCCTTATTTCAGATTACCTAATTATCAGATTCTAAATTACTGAATTTCTAATTTCTAAATACCTAAATTTCCAGTTCCTAAATTACTGTACCAAATTACCGTGCTTGCTTAATTTTTACTAGTTAAATTACTAGATTGCTAATTTATTATGTAGACAGTAAATATTAGATTTCTGATTATTAGATTTCTGTTAGATTTATTATGTAGATAGTAAATTAAATTGTCTTGCTCGAGCGGGTGCCAGAAAGTCCACATTCCTGCTTAAGACTGTTTTTCCTGTTGAACTTTTCCCGTTTATAAATACTCTGCGAATGAACTGAAGTGCGGCTGATTTTTTCGCAAAAATAAACGTACGTATGTGTGACTTACGTATGTGTGACCTGGTTAAAAAAAACTTGTTAACAACACGATGGTAAGTAGAGCGCGTGCGGTTCATACTGTGCAGCAGCAAAATAAGTAGATAAATGCTGAGATTTACAAAATTCTGAATTAAAAATTGATAGAAGCCGATTCAGGCGAAATTTTTGTTTACGTATTCAAAAAAGAATTGAAGCCCAAAAGTTGGTAACCTTTAAGAAAACAATAATAGCAATGCAGAATATTTCGGTAGAAATCTTCATGTATTTGCATTAAGCTCAAATTCCGAATGATGGTGACCATTAGAGAAATGCAATCGCACACTGCAAGTGTTTCAGTAAAGGTTTTTGTGCAATAAACATAAATTTTGTATTCAAGTTGCAAGTGGTCTTTATGGCAAAAATAATTCAGTGGAAATTTTGTTCAGGAAGGCGAAATTTCGTATTTGAAGTGCTAATTACCTTACAAGAATAATCGATCCCGATCCAGACTTCTACGATTTTTTTGAAATTTTAAAATGAATTTTAAAATTTTTGAAATTTATTTTAAAATTTGAAAATCATGCTAGAGCAGTGGATCGGTGTAAAAACGTTCTTCGTGGTTATGTGCATTTACGTACATAATCTGAAAGAGATCAGTCTATAATGAGACTTTTGGTACACCTGAATGCATTTAAACTTTTTGGAATTTTCTAACAGCCAAAACTTACGAACCGGATGTTGCGCGCGCAAACGGTCTTCAGGCCAGTGTATACAAATCGTTTGGCTACAGAATGTCATACAACAAGAGAAAAAAGGGTTTGGAAGTGCGCGAAGGTGAAAGATTTCGTGCATTTACACGAATTTGGTACCATGTACCGGGCCACTTCCCTTAAAAATTTATGGCTTCATCTGTTTTTCAGTATAATATGATCTTAAATAATATCAGCCTACTTTTTATCTTTGTTTTTAAATGATAGTTTTGTTCGGAATAATCTATTCGTGTTGCGCGATATCGTGGTATTGACGTCATACTGATTCGTGAATAGAAGAGACATTGCTGTTTTACGAGCAGGGCCATGCATACATAGTTATCTGCCTTGTGTACAAAGTTATAGTTATCTATAATTAATAGGGGCCAGTGCCGTATATGACTGCGTAATGTACTCGTATACTGTGCTGACGGAAAGTGAAAGTAATAGTTCTTAACTATAACTTTAATCACACAACAAGCAAGAATAACAATGAGATGGAAAGCAACAGGAAATGGTAGACCGATCGCTGGAATGATCGATATCATTCACAGCAAAGCAACACCTTATATCTCAATGCAACCGTGTTGCAACAATTCTAGAAAGTTCGGTAACTTTCATGAGGACAATAAACATGAGAACAATCTCTTAGATTGTCAAGCGTTATGGCCAAAGCCATAACGTGCTCATCCATGCAAACACACACGCAGTTAAACAAGCTGTAATAAAATGCATCATGCACAAACACAAGTCTAGCAATAAAGCTCATAAACGTAGTCGCCTTTCAAATGACCGCTATGCGTATACCGGCGTAACATAATTTGCATACATAGTTATTAGTTATTTGTTTATTTGTTATTAGTTATTTATTTTATTTGTTATTGGTTATTAGTTTATTATTAGTTTATTTGTTTATTATTAGTTTATTTGTTTATTATTAGTTTATTTGTTTATTATTAGTTTATTTGTTATTAGTTATTTGTTATTAGTTTATTTGTTTATTTATTATTTGTTTATTTGTTATTAGTTATTAGTTTATTTGCATACATACTTAGTTATTTGCATACATAGTTATCTGCCTTGTGTACCTCTGTATGTCCTTTTACAGAGTGTATTCTGTAATCCGTTGAGAGAATAAACAAGGCGGAAGAACAGTAGATGCAGTAGCCACCGAATCGAGGAACTTTTCTAAGCGTATCATACTTTATTCGTTACTTGGCAACGATTACTAGCCGACGCCGAATCAATGACAGGAAGCAACGTTTTTCTGCGTTTAACTGTGCTCATTTCCTTAATGAATTTCCTGAATGTTTAAAGCCTTCAATTCTGTCTGCATCATAGGACAATAATTGATCAACTGGCTGATCAGCAAATGAACTTTTGGAACAAAGTACATTGCATCTACTGTAGGCCAGGTGCTTATGGCGGTTATGGTGCTTATGGTGCTTATGGCGGGCAACCGCCATAAGCACCTGGCCTCTACTGTAGGAAGTCGCGATGCCTTGGAGTTGGCGGTACATTTGACCTTTGATATTAAAGGCTCCGCAATGCGGTGCGAAATCACAAAAACGTGGTAATAAATTATGTATATACAATTTCTTTGTGCCAGTTAAGCCTAATATTTACCAAACCATTTGTGCATAAGTAATAAAAATAATACGTGGTACAAAAACCTTGTACAAAGTACAATTTCATTTCCCGTTTAAACTCATTCGGTCTACATTACCCAGTATTATTGTTTCACATGTCCTTCAGGCAGAAACTGTAAGGAATGATAGCATAAAGTACTGACTCTATCAAACTGAGAAGAATTTCCATAAAAGGCCAAACCTTCTCGGTCTCCAACCGACAAACGAAATTTCAGCAGGCAAACCGTTAACAACAATTTCGTGTCACCGAAAAAAGATCGGCACAGAACCGTCGCACGTGGAGGTTGTACTTAATTCCGGTGAACAGACGCACTCGTTGATTCGCTGTCTAAAATCAGAGACAGAAACGAGCTGACTGAATTGATGTGCAATTTCAAAACTGCAGTTGAGGAGAATTATTTTCTCCTTACTTGATGCATGCAACCGGTGTTGTCTGCGGTCTCTTTTGCGGTGATGTACCCGGTCCACTGAATTCGCCCTGTGATTTGACTGGTCTGAAAACAGTACTGTACCAAAGCAGCTTCATAAACTGGATTTTAACTTTTCAGCACACAAATAAGGTCAGAAAGCAAAGAGCAAAATATAATTATTAGCATTTACGTTCATTCATGAAATAAAAGCCGTTACGTTTTCGTAAAGCATTCTGCAACCAAATATCAACCTTATATATTGTCACGAAGGTATTCCATTTTCATACACGTAATTATTTCATATTTTGCAATCATACAGTAATTATTTTTAATAAAAATTTTGATTTTGCTCTTGTTTTTATTTTACTTTTCAATATTGCTTACTGAATTTATCGTCAGCATTGCCGTAGTATTTGTACAAAAATATGTAGTTAATGCTATTTGTAATTATCCATGATTCGTTTTTCCAAAGAGTTATCGGGATTTTGGTAGCCAAAAATGTTTTACAAGCACTTATGTACTTTGGATGAAATCTGGATTTCTTTATTGTGCAGCAGATCGTCTCTCAACCGTCTTAATCCATCATTAGCGTGTTTCTCCATCCTAAAATAATTTTGACAATGTCACCAGGATATTTAAAATAAATATCAAAATTGTAAGAACTGATGGGCTCACTTATACAAAACTGATAAGTGCTTGATCGTGTTCCGTAAACCGTGAGCATTGTTCTCCAACTGCAGCAGCTGTTCCTGACTGGTGGCTTTGCTCTGCGTCATTTCGCTTTTGGCTTTCTGCACAGCCAGCTCCATCTAAGGAAAAATACCGAAAGAACTGGCTCTTTCGCATAACATAAAAATATTTTAAATTATCATAGGAGTTTTTTCTCGCGGTTTGCATTTGAAATCGGAATGCACTGTTTCAGAAAGAAAGGTCAAAGGTACCTCGTGGAGTTGATACATGAGCAGTTTCTTCTCTTCGTCAGCGTGCCGTCTGATTTGAACTGATTCTTGCTTAAGCTTGTCGATCTCTTCGAAAAGCGGCACTATCCCGTGTATTTTCTTCTCAGCGTCGCGGAACAAACTCAGATTACGCTCGGCCTCAACGGAATTCTCCCGTAACGACGCTTGCAGTTTCTCATGGGCACTGTGCGAGTTTGAATGGAGCCGATTCAACCTAAGAAAGTCTCTATGAGAAACTGACCTTTACGTAATTATGTTGCCCTGCTCACTCGTGTTCCAGTTATGCTTTCTCCTGCTCTAAGCGTTTTATCTTCTTCTCGACAAACGCTCGTTCTTCTATTAACGTTTGCGATTGTGATTCAGCATCGCTGCAAACCGTACAACTTTGATACGATGCTAGTGAACGTCTGTATTTCGCTGTACCATAAACGCTGTTGATACGCTTTCTCGCGTTTGTCCAGCTCCTTGTGCAGTATCGTCTGGTTGGCCGTGCACATCTTCTCCAAAATATTGTGCAGCGAGGCCAAATACTTTGCATGGTCATTCTGTCTTTACACGTAGCGTTATATAGTGATGCGCGTATGAAGGTCAGAAATTGTACCGACCTGATTTTAGCAACGTTGCTGACGAGCTGCGTGTACGCTTGTTCAAGCTGACGCTTTTCGGCTTGGATGATACTGATACTTTTCCGTAGGTCGTCTGCCAGCGACGAACTGCCGTCGGGGGATGAGCATGGTTGTGTTGACGGCTGTGGAGGAAAGGATAATTTTGATGCAGTTGTGGATTCTTTCAGTCGGAAGATCCATAGAAAGACACTTCATCAATTTACTCAGCTTCGACGCATTACGAAAATCGCGCTGTGCACAATTATTTACAACTATTACAGACACATATTCCAGGTTCAAGAACCTCTGAAATTCTGCTCTAAATCCAGACTCATGCCCCATCAATAATAAAAATATGAATCATAGTAATATCGGTACATCAATTTAGACGTTAACTCATACGGGAAACGTATGAATCACAATCACCCTTAAATCAGTGTTTTTTTGTCTAGAAAAAGACAAAATTTGTCCTGGAAGTTTTTTGTCGTAATCCGACATAACATAATAATTTTGTCGGTACAAATTGTGCCCTCCCCGCCCCCAATCGTTTATGAAATTAATTGCGGTTGTTTTCTAAATATTAAGTATATTATCCGGTATATGTATTCTGTAGTACGACACTAGTAATTTTATTGCGCTTGTGCGGATTCATTTGTTTAGGCGCTTTTCTTTATTAATCAGCAGGGCGATTTGGATTCGGTAGTTGTGGTGTATGTATAAATGTTGCAATAGTTTTCGACTGATACAGATATGTAACCGGCATCGAACAGTTAATTAATCCCAGTTCGGGCAAAATTATATTCATCCTTTCCTGGAAAAAGAAATTTTGCTCACTGTATTCTGCAGACAGCCGCCGGTTTCTGTGTGGATGGTTTGTACAAACCATCCACTCCATTTTGGCTTGATGAGCATTAAAATTTAAACTTGAGGTTCGATTGTGAAGCAATTAGAGGTTCATAACGGTGCAATGCGAACAATAGCCGTGCAACAGTTCGCCAAAGCAAAGAAATACGAGCATCGTAGGCAAGCATCAATTCGGAATAAAATGTGGCTGCACTGTTCAGACGATTTCAAAATCTTTTCCTAAAGACGCATTGGCACAGCCTGATGCTCCCGGTTGTTATCCCAATAAATTAAATAGTTCCATATGAGCTGCCACCGGTAATTATTTATTTGGAAGCGTAAGACCAGTGACATCAAGATTTAGTGGTGCAGTGCTGTATGGCGCTTACGATCGACTGAAATATCAAGTTTTGAGTTTTCATCACACTTGACAACTTTTGCCGCGCGCAATTGAACTGTATGGCGCATTCAGCCGTTGCGACGCGACTCCGTGTGAATTCCTGATATGAGACGTTTTTGATAACAGTAATGCGAATGTTATCATGTACGCGTCCGTGCGCGTCTGCTGCTGGAGGTCAGCCATTAGCTGACTAATGTCTTCTGTTAGTTAATGAATAGAAGTAGGAAAAATAAAAATGAACAAAGTATTACAGTACTTCGGCGGTTTTCTTTATAGACTGTAAGTATACTGTTACCGTGTACATATAAGTATACATATAGCCATATAGGTAGATATGTTAAGTATCAATGTATCGAGCTGTATTAATTTAGTTAGATGAGTTTAACTTGACCGCCGGTATACCAGGTATTTGGGCTTTTGAAATAATTTAATTTTGCACTTATCACACAGCCTATAAACATGCACAGTCTATAAACATGCAGTTGTTATAGAATTTAGCAGTTTTTACTATATATAAAAGCGGACCGTTTCAGTTTTGTGCTTACCATGATTAAGAATCATTAGAAATCGGTTTAATTTACAGATACAAGGCCATTAAGTTTTTCAAGTAATTAACGTAATCGGTTAGTATTTCATGGCGCGTGTGAAAAATTACACATGCCGACTTTCATTTACAGTGTCTACTCATTTTTTTAGCTGCTTCCAAAATAAAGAATTCCGTAAGTCGTATCTCAGTTATTGTGCTTGTTCTCTGTAGTGTACATCGATCTCTCTCTAGATCTGTGAAGGTGATTAATGTATTAATGTTATAATATTTATAAAGTGCTACCAGCATATATACGTAGAATTATGTAGTATACGTTTATACAGGTGCATAATGATGCATACTGCGCCTTATGCATAATTACTGATTAGAGGCAGATTTCATGACTAATTATTAAGAACCAAAAAAACGAAGAAAAACCTAATATTTTAACTTTAAAAGTACATCAAGATTTATAGAGGTTTTTCTGCGTATACTGTTTTATAGAGGTTTATCCATATATTATTTAATAGAAAAGAGTTCTAGTATAGTAATACGGTCGGAACTCGGAACTCCCGCAACGCATTGTGAATTATACCGTACGTACGTGCGCAAGCAAACGCGCGCAATGGGAAGACTGGAAAGTGCAGCGGCTGATCACTTTATATTCACAGTTTTTCACAACGACGACGCATAAGCGTGTAACTTCAGCATTTTCGTTTTTTTAAAAATTAGAAAGAAGGCAAAAATGTTTAATGTAAAACGTAATATTATATAAAGTGTATTCAAAAAGCTTGGACCAAGCTGAGCTTTGGCCAATAAAAATGCAGGTTTATGTGTATAAACCAGCTGCCTACAGGTGCTTGGCAGTTGGCAGCTGAAGTTAGTTTTTGTATTTTCGAACAAAATTTGTCAAACCACGACACTTCTCGTTACGAACGAGATAACGTTATAACTGCCTAGGTGTTATCAGTCAGCGCTGTAAGCGATCTGCATGAACCGACATGCACACTTGTGAATCGGATGCGGTTATCTGTGAGCCACTCATCCGAAACATATGAAACTGTCTTTCCATATAAATGTTGTTGATAGGGTATGTGTTGGCACGGTCTGCGAAATTTAATAAAGCTACTATGGTGCTGGTTAATTATGCAGTTTTTGCTGAATTATTTTTTCACAATTATTTAAAAATAAAACGATTTACAATCAGCTATTTTAAATTTAGATAACTTCAAGATGTGTTTTATACATAATAAAATTACGGTGGGCAAAAGTACTAAACGGACAACTTATGGTTAGTAAGGAAACTTATTTAAGACAAAAAAATTCAGAAAACTGCTTGAAATCCAATTCTAATGTTGTAAGATTGTCCGCGAATTTTATTAAAATCAACACGGCATAGCTTAGCAAGTAATCAAGTACTTGAAGTTGCACTGAATTGGAGTTTTATTTTGTTGCGGTTAGCTTGAAATTAAAGGAGGTTTTGCTGTTGCAGTTATAGGTAAATCGTAATTCTTGTAAATACCGTAATTGCAATAGTTGCAGAACTTGCAGTTATAATTTTCTTAATCACTTAATTAATGTGAATTGTAATTATTGTTATCGTATTAAATCGTTAGATTCGTTATCATTCGTAAAAAAATTATTATTCGTTATCATTATTAAAAAGATTATTATTCGTTATCATTCGTAAAAAAAGTTTTTCTAACCTGCAAGACACTTCCTGATCCCAGAACGTTTGGTCGATCGTATGAAAATCTGCACCATGATCGCCACACGGCGCACTGCTGCAATGCACATCTTGCATTAATGAGCAGCGTCCTGCAGAACAGAAAACTGGGGCTAAATTGCTCCGACTGGTGTCATAAACAGGAAGTAATCCCGTCGCATTCATGTTTGCTAAACCCTTTAAAAATTTCTCTTAAATTCTGCGATTTAAAGAATCAAAAAAAGTGAAGCAATGGACCGGAAATGCTACGAAGCATTGCTTCGCTTTACGTTTAGAATAGTGTGTTCTGTGAGACTGTCATGATGGAGTTCGATTCCCGATGTGGCTGGTGCCTGGTGTTGCTTAGCGCCGCGGGCAGGGATTCGCGCTACGTCAACCAGATCGGTTTTTGAACGATGCAGTTTTTGATGTTCTGTAAATAAAAAAATACCAAACGTTTTTATTTAGTGGTTTGTTCGCCATTTATTGGCACCGCGACATTTCGCCGCCGACAACTCGTCGCAGGACTTTTCGTCGCAGACATTTCGCCGCAAGGTCACCTCGCCTTGCGACGCTTCGTCGCCGGTCATTTAGCCGGCAGGACATTACGCCGCGAGACGTTTTATCGTCCGGCCGTTTCGACGCCGAGACATATCGCCGCAGGGATGTTTTGACGAAAAGTCAATTTTAGCAAGAAAACTTTTAAAATATGAAGGCTAAGAACCATAAGAAAACCCTAAGAAACCTAAGAATAACCCAAGAAACCTAAGAATAACCTAAGAAACCTAGGAATAACCTAAGAATGACCTAAGAAATCTAAGAATAACCTAAGAAACCTAAGAACAACCTAAGAAACTTAAGAAACCTAAGAATAGCCTAAGATTAACCTAAGGCCAACCTAAGAATAGCCTTAGAACAACTTCAGAAGCCCAAAGACCTAAGAAAACCTCCCAAGAAACCCGGAAAAACTGCAAAAATTGAGCGTGTCGAATGCTTTTGCGGCGAAGTGTCCGCGACCAGACGTCTTGCGTCAAAATGTCGCAAAGTCAAAATGTCTCAATGCTAATTGTCCCTAACCGAAGTGTCCAAGCGTCAAAACGTCCCGCGGCCAAATTTCTTCTCGGCGAAAAGTCGTGCGTCGAATTTAATTGCGGCGAAATGTCACACTCCCAAATGTCCGGGTGCGCATTTGGCACATTTGTTACTGGTTCGGGAATGCATTGCGTTTTCTTATTATTTATGGCAGCGATGAGGCTCCGCGCAACGGAGGCCATAGTGTTGTGAGCGGGGGTTCACTAGCGTTCACGCCCGTAACGCTGCGCCACCTGGATTACGTGTCTGTGTTGTGTCTCGCCTCTGATTGGCTGGCTTGAGTTGTGTTAGTGGGCGCGGCTTAGCACGTGCTGCACAGTGTTACACACTGTTGAATTGGCTCTACGATTTGCGATCGAGCTGCGCCGATCACTTGTTGATTTCTGGTCTCCAGACTTTCAATATATTAAAAGTCAGCAATTACGGTGCGACATTTTGTGTTTCCGCATAGCTCGCCATCCAGATCGTATTGCTCGCTCTACGGGATAGATTCCGTTTCTGTCTCCGTCCCTGGATCCATTCTGGATCTAGCATTAGATGGTAGCAGAGCCGACAGCGGTTCTCTGATTGATTTGATTTGTGTCAGGCATATTTGGCCTGTTATCCGACGTGAAACCCGTGACCAGTAAGGCACAGGTCTGTCCTACAGCAAAGCGCACACCACAAGCGGTGCAATTTCCCCCATTGGACGCGGATTTCCAGCTTCGGTTTTCGGTACGGTATCTTCAGCGAAGAACCGTGCTGTTTCCTTAGCTGTGCAAGAGTTCAAGAGTTTCAGTCGTCAGTGTTCCTCGGTGTAGAGTCTTCAGCGAAGACCTACACTGGTGTCACTGATACTCGGCAAGGCTTCAGCGAAGCCTAAGCCGTGGGCCACAAGAGGCGAAGCGCCGAAAGGGGCGCACGGGAAAAGACAGATCAGACTCCTCCAAACTGGTTGTAGAGCACTACTGTTGCTACGGCACAGCCGGCACAGTACTAGACTAATATCGCGAGGCACGCTACGGAACAGCGGCGACGCGGGAGCGGAGTTGGAAGAAGAATCTGGATCATTCGGATCATTTTCCCGTGGAACGTGGAACGGACGGACGGTTAACAGGTAGAAAACCGTTAATAATTACGGGATTGGTTAGACGGTAAAATTTGCAATTTCTATTGGTCCGTTCTGAGCTGAGCATAGACGTAGGCGGAGTTTTGCACACGGTGCGCATGTCTGGCCGTTGACCGTGACGTCAGGCAGATATAGATTTTTAGAGAAGCAACGCTATTGGTTAGTTATCTGAGCTGTGATTGGTCTGAATCTGAACTGAGTAAATTGAATCAGCGGACCAATAGGAATGAAGTAAACAACGTCAATGGGGATTTTCCGCTGAACTTGAGCGTTAATGGGAAATCTGATCTGAGATGAGATAATTGAGACAGAAAGTGACCTTTCGAGTTGAGACAAAGGAAAAGTGACCTTTGATTAAAATCGAGTTAGAAAGTGACCTCTAATAGAATTGAGCTGGAAAGTGACCTTTAACTCGAATTGAGCCGGAAAGCGACTTTTGAACAGAAATTGAATCGAAAAGTGACCTTTACCAAAAAGTTGGAATTGACCAAATTGACTTAGTTAAGTGACCTTCATGATCTGAAAGTGATCAATAGTGACCTTTAACGAAGTTGAAATTGAAGTGAATAGTACAGCGACATCAGCAGCTGTAAGATTTCATTCGTAAACGTGTTCCAACTGTAAAACGGTTTCGGAAGTTTTGTCTAAAGAGTGAACTTCAGGGCAAATCTCTCGAACTTTTTAACGAAAAAGTGACCTTTAAACGGGGCTTAATCGAAATTTTTCAACCGAAAAGTGACCTTTAACAGGGACTTAGAAAAATTTCACAGAACGAAAGTGACCTTTAGGACAATTGAATAAACCATACAATAACGTTTGTGTGAGAACAATTGACAGGGGCGTCAAAGTTATCCGATCAACATGGATAAAGACAAGGAACAACCAACGTCTACCAGCAGTCAGGGAAGCATAAGCTCCCGAAGTTCACAGCAAGGTGCACCAAATCCGTACAAAAAAGACTTGCACACGTACTCGCGTCCAGTTGGACACGAGCGGAACACTCGAGCGCCCAAGGCATTCGAGAAGAAGGATTCGCGAGGCTCTGATAGTACCTATCAGAAGGCGCTCGAGGCGGTCGCCAATCAGGAAAGTTCCAGCGACGACCAGAAGTACACTCCCGCATCTACGACGGGAAGTGAACCGATGAACCAGACAAAGGTCGCTGGGGAGGACAGAACCACAGAAAAGACAGCGGAAGCAGAGGGAGCATCCCAATTGGATGCTACCATCAGTGGAACGAATGAGCAGGATAAAAATGTAAACCTGGCTCAAGCGGAATGGGAAAAGACAAAGGTCACCGAAGAGGAACTTGCTGAACTGAGACTGGATGACCTTACACTCAATGACAGGACTAATGGTGATGACCTTTGGGCAACCCCAATGGTGTCAGATGAATCAAACGAGTCGTATTATACGGATGACGAAACGACGATTAATACGTCGTTCCGGACTGCCATGAAGGAAGCGGACCGAGCAGAAGGGATGACCTCGTTTACGGACATACCTGAACACTTAATTGAACGGACACAGACTGGAAAGGTCATCAATGTTCGATCACCATCACCGAATAGCCCGACAACGACTCTGAGGAAACGTGTGAGCGAATTGGAAAACGAACTTGAAAGCAATGAGCGCCAGGCGGATAAGCGGAAACAGGAATATCGAGAAAGACTGACGACACTTGAGACCCGTCTCTTCGATTTGGAACAGCAACTGGATGACCTCCAAAGTGCTGCAGACGGTTGGAAAGTGAAATACGAAAAACAAAGGGAGATGGCAGAAGAATATTTGAAAATGGTAGATGACAGAGAAATGGAAGGTCACCTCGCAGTCAATGACCTTAACGAAAGTATGTCGGAAGAATCAGCGGAAAGGTCACGACACTTAGTCGAACTGAAGGATGAATGTGACCAGTTACGACAAAAGGTCACCGAAGCCGAAGCTAAAAGAGACGAATACGCGGGTAACTTCGCAGAGGTTACCCAACGATTGTCGAAGCTGGCAGCTGAAACGTTTAAGCTAAGAAACGAACTGAAGTCACGTGACGAAGCCATCAGCATCCTGCAGAATGAGTCGAAAGGTCACCAGAGACGCGCCGACGAGGCGGAAGAGAAAAGAGGGGAAGCAGCCAAAGTGGCACGAGACTTGAGAGATCTCGTAGCCACCGAAGGGGAACGACTTAAGGATGAGATCAAAAAGGTCACTGAGGAAAATAAAAAGGTCACCGAGGACTGCCAAAAAGCCGCAAAGGAAAATCTTAAGTGGCAAAATGAAGCACGCAGATTGGATACAATGGTTACAGTATTGGAACTGAAAGAAAAAGAATGGCAACAACAGATGACCCAACAGAAACAGGAAAACGTAAAGGTCACCAATGAACTTTATGAAATGACAAGAACAGTGATGAATAAAGACGATGAAGTGACCGAAGTCAGGACCCAGCTGAAATCGGCCGCTGAGGAATACCAGAAACTCGAGCGGGAGGTGACTCAACTGGCTGAACACATCAACAAGATGGAACAGGAAAACGAAAAGGTCATGAAGGAAAAAACCTTCCAATTACATGACCATACGCAGAAGGTTAAACAGGAAAACACCGAACTGAGGAGAGAGAGGGAGGAGCTCACCCTAAGGAACAGACGCCTGGAGGACGAGAACAAAGCACTCCAAACGTCAGTCAAGCATAAGGACGAACAACTCCTGCAATATGGAGTGAAGACCGCAACAGTGGAATCACCGCCGCCCAGTTACAGCAAGGCGCATGAAACGGGCACGGGCAAAAGCTTCCATTTTGAAATGCCCTTACGAACCGGCACCGGCAGAGGAAATGTCAAAACAGAACAAGACGGTGAAAAGGTCAAAGATGATAAGGATAAAGAACCACCATCAGGTTATTCACACTCGAGCCGATGCGAACCTTCACAATTCCCCCCACATATCGAAGTCAACGCGTTCATCGACGAAGGGCGACGGGACAGACCCCCTAGTCGGCAGGAGCGCCCGAGGAAATCCCGCTACGCAAAGCAGAGGCGAAACCAAAACGATGATGAGAGCAGCGAAGAAGAAGACAATTTGAGGGGGGGGTTCGCATTAGCGAAAGCACTCGATTCCATGGCTCGGAAAACACCCTTGATGACCTTTGATGGCAGCCGTGACACCGTCAATGGCTGGACAAGATTGGTGAAAGAAACCCAAGATACCTACCAGCTTACTGATAGGCAAATAATGATTGAAATAGCCAGCGCCGTAAAAGGTCCGGCCAAGGGCTGGTTCGAAGGAGAAAAGGACATAGCATCAGAAGACGGAATCGAGTACACGGTAAAAGAATGGATGGATAAATTCAAAGACGAATATGGTGATCGAGACGAAGAAGTCCTAGGCTTACGTGAGGCCTATGCAAGGAAATTCGAACTTGGAAAAGAATCGCTCGACCAGTACTACCAAGCGATGATGCGATTCAAAGCAAAGAGAATCATCACTGAGAAGCAAGCAGTTGGCTTCTTAATTGAGGGATGCAAAGGAGACAATGAACTCTATAAGGCATTGCGCATACAAAAGTGTAAGACGCCGACCGATGTAAAGGACTTTTTCCGACACTGGGCAACAGGAGATGAAAAGTACAAGGCGCCAAAAGGTCAACGTAACCAGGAATACGTGACTATCCGCCAAGGCCAGGTGGAGAATGTACCGCAACAGAGAATGGTAGCTGCATCAGCCCAGCAGCAAATGGAATTTCGCGCGGAAACCCCTGTAAGAGAGGTCACCAAAGAAGTGACCTTTATCGACAGCCAGACGGGACAGCCAATAACATATGCGATGGTGGCGGCGATACAAGCAGCGGCTCAAGTGAGACCTCCACCTCAGAATGTGGCTCCACCGAATGTGGTGATACCGCAACAGGGAATGCCAAATGGCAACTTTGGCGGGAACGGATATGGAAATGGAAATTGGAATGGAGGCCAAGGAAACTTCCAGAATCAAGGTCAAGGTCAAGGTCAAGGCTATCCTCAGCAGAATAGAGGAAATCAGAACAACTTCCAGCAGAATCAAGGGTCACGAACGGAATTTAAGTTCCAAATGATCGACGGATGGGTAGCGAACAATGTGCAAATGTGCCAGTACTGTATGTATGGCAACCATCAGACACAGGGATGCAAGTTCGCGAACACGCCGCCGGATCAGAACCCGAACTTGTTTACCTTCAGAGAATGGCAAAGATTGCGCAACCTGGGCGGTTGGCGCCAAGCAGTGGCGAACGGATATGACCTGGTAACACAATGGTATCAGGCGAAAGCGAACTTTCAACAGCAAGGAAATGGCAATTACGGAAATGGAAACGGCGGCGGCGCCCAGAATAACGGCGGCTACGGCCGTGGTGGCTACGGCCGCGGCGGCTTCAGAGCAAGGGGCAGAGGCTATGGCCGCGGGAATTACGGCGGTAATCGAGGCGGCGGCAACGGAGGTGGCCAAGGAAACTACTACAATGGTGGTGGTGGCGCCCAAAATAATGGCGGCGGCCAAAATAACGGAGGCGGACGGAACGCCAACCAGGCAAACGAAATCGGACAACAACAAGGAAATGTGCAAGGCGCTCAACAAGGAGGTGCGCCAGTTCAGGGAAACGGGCAAGATCAGTAGGCGCCGGTGAGCCTACTGATCGCCCCGACCCGAAACCACCGGATAAAAAGGGAACGGAAAGGTCACTGCAGAACAGTACTGCAGTGAACGTGACCATTGCAACGGCTAGATGGATGCCGTCAGCGCAAAACGGAAGTGGACCGGCTATATGGATGCCGCGACCACAGAAAACGGCTATATGGATGCCGCCACAGCAGCAAAAGGAACTGGTTATCGGGAAACCAGTACAAATGAATCAAAGGTCACCGCAGAATGGTACTGCGAGTGGAAACGTGCAACGGGACCAAAGGTCACCGCAGAATGGTACTGCGAGTGGAAATTGTCGTGATGGTAGCGCGACACTGCGAACAGCGCAGCAAAATGAAAGGTCACCGTATTGCAGCGAAAAGGTGTTAGCTGAACGCCGTGCATTACGCAATGCGAAGATTCAACAAGCAATGCTGAATCAGAGGAAGCCGCAGAATAGCACTACAGAAGAGGATGAAGAAGTGCACCATTCGAAATTCCGAGAGTATATGGAAGAACACGGCATACCGAATCGCCAGAGGTCACTCCCCGTAGGAAAAGTCCAAGTGAAAGGTCGTGGAGCAAGTGCGAACGCTAAAGGTCACGGCGACAGCGTCGTGTTAAAAGGTCAAGAAACAGACCTGACACTGCGAACAGCGCAGCAGAAGAATAGCGAACCGGCACAGCAGAACTCCGACGACTCACTTGTGGATGCAGTAACGCTGCAACGGAAGGAAATATGGCAAAAAGTAGACTACAGACCGAATGGGAATCACGGGATGTGGACACCCGTGACGCCAAAAGCGAAACAGAAAGCGGGAATGTCTCAAGAAGATTACAGGGACATGCAGGAATTGCGAACGCAATATGAGAGAAAACGACTGGAAGAACTGGTTACCGGGAAAGAAAGTAAAAGGTCACCGAACCTTGCTCCAGTATTCAACGCAATTGAATACAAGAATGCACAAGCTGACCTGAATAACCCGCGAAATGCACCGCCGGAACATAAACCGCAAAATTATGGAGAAAAAGTCCCCATACAAAAGCTGTCAAGCGGCGGATTTGTCATAAAGCGCAACGAAAGGTCACAGGACTTAGCGCAAAACGAACAGAGAGGAAGGTTAAATGAAATGGCGCAAATGCAACAGACTAGCGCTGTCGAAAGGTCACGGGACTTATCACAAGCACTGCAACAGGATGCCAATGACAAGTCACCGGCTCGAACGGACGGAATGTCTTCGCAAACCGATCCGACGAAAACGAATAACGAAGTGTCCGCGAAGGTGATTGAATGGATGGCCCAAAAGGGATATGATATGGTTACATACGAAAGGTCACCAGAAGAGAAGAAGGACAGTGAAGTAGATGAATTGAAACGAGCTGACCAAATAACAAATGAAGTCATTGAGAAGTTGCGAGATAAACGAAACGAAAACCGTAAAGAGGAACTAATCCATGAGACGATAAATGAAGTGACTAAAGGTCACGGGGATAGCACAAAAGCAAATTCGCAAGTGCAGAATAATGAAAAGGTCACCAGCGGCAAGATGGCTGCAGAGAAGCAAGCGGATAAGAAAAAACCGCAGAAATTCTACGATGTCCGAACCGACGTGCCACACAGGATTGACAAGTTGAGGGAAATACTGAAAGGTCATAGCACTCCGGCGAAAGGGCAAGTGCTTCCCGATATGGATCCGGGACCAGTATCGTTAATTCCTGTGAAATGTAAGATTCACACACTAAAGATTCAAAACGGAAAACTGCCCAAAAGAATTGAAGCATACACACACGAAGTGAAAGTGGGAGACATAAAGGTCAACGCAATGTTGGACACCGGCGCTGAGACGTCGTTGATCAGCAAACCGTTTTGCGAGACAAATGGACTACATATGCTTCCATTGCCACCAGACAGACTGGTGAAGATAAATGGAATTAGCGGAACGTCAGGATTCATGGTGACGCACTACTGCGTAGCACCGGTGACCTTAAGGAAAAAGACTAGCGAACATTCTTTCTACGTCCGACCGAAGTGTGACGACGTACAGGTGTTACTGGGATTCGACTTCTTAGAGAAGAAGTTCGTACTAATGGATAATGAAGGCGAAGAAGAGAAAGAAGATGACCCGAAACCGATCGCCAAAGTTCAAGTCGGAAAGGTCACCGAACTTGTAAAACAGACGGGGAATGCTCAGACTGATAATAAAACGCTAATCCCAGTACCAGAGGCACCGGGAATCGAGCAGAAAAAGACGGCAAAGAAAGAATTGTCGACATTTGAGCAGTTGAAATTGATCCAATTGGAGATTGAAAACACATTAAACCGGACAATGCTAACACAAAGGGAAGAGAAAAGGTCATCCCAGTACCAGAGGCACCGGGAATGACGAGAGTGCAACAGAACGAGATTAGCCAACGGACAATCCCGGTACCAGAGGCACCGGAGATGAAAAGTGAAAGTGCAAACGTCAAAAAAGTCAATGAAGGGAAAAAGGAACCGCTTGCGCCAGATATGGACGAGGCGATCATATTTCTCCCGGACGGGAGAAGTATGATCGCAGATGACTGTGAGCAAGGAGCCACAGAAAAAGAAAGTGTTGAAAAAGTTAGCCCAGTACCAGAGGCACTGGGAAAGAAAGATGAAAGGTCACCGGCGATAAAAGTACCAGAGCGTACTCCGAATTTCTTCGAACCTCGATCTGCTACCCAACATGAAAGGTCACCAGATAAAGCTAAAGAAGAAGTAACAGAATGCGACCCTCAAAAGGAACCCTTTTTCGAACCGTTGGCTATCAATGACGAAAGGTCATCAACACTTGAAGAGATAGCTGCCACACAGAAAGAAGCGACAGCCGCAGCGAAACAATCACTCGTGCCTGGCATGGAATGGGCAAAGCCTATCCCAGTACCAGAGGCACTGGGAGTAAAATCGGCCAAAGTGGGAAAGGATAAAAAGAGTGAAAGGTTGCGCATATTAAAACGCATAGCTGAAGAAGAACAGATGTTCGCGAGCGAAATCCGCGACAAAGCGCTTGAACGGTTAAAAGGTCACCAACTGAAAAATGAAACAGGGATTATTGAAATATCCTCCGATGAAGCGAGTGTAACAGAAATCGGACAGGAGCAAAAAACCACAACACAAGAGAAGGAGATTGCCAACTCGCAAACCAACCGAAGGATATTAACTCCAGAAGAACGAATGGGGAGTTGCGGACATGGTTACTATGAGGATCCGTGTAGAGTGCAACCACAATGGGAATGCACCGAATGTTGTCAAAACGCCTCCCAAGATGACCTTTCAGAATGGCCGAGATGTAACGCTGCATTAGCAGATCTTAAAGGTCAAGTCCAAAAGAAAACGAAAAGTATCATGAGGACCAATGAAATGTGGAAACCACACATTGAGCGGTATCATTGGAGCAGATATCGGACTTGGCTGTCATGTGTGAAAAATTTCATTACGGGGAGAGGAAAATGGCTGAACCATTGGCAGCAACGTATGGATAACGGAACCCAAGATCCTCTTGACCCGGTATCAACTGAGCGAAAACTTGAAAGAGAGATAGACTCAATGAACGAGGAAGTACAGCTATGGGAAGAAGCGAGGATAGAACTGTTCTGGGACTTCCGCATAAACCATATGTATAAAGGTCAAGGGAGAACAGTTATATTCCCAACAGGACTCGGTACACCGGTATATGAGTCAGTAGTGGTGTTCTGTAAAGCACTAAAAGAAAACGACTGGGACATATTTGATAAATATTGGACGAAATTTGAAGCGGAGATTCCTATATTCGACATAAGGGAAATACGAGAGTTACAAGTAACCCGGAAAAGAAGGTTACCGGGACTGATGGAGAAGAAAAAGGTGACCTTTGCACCAGATCCAGACGGAGTGGACTACCCAGAACGAGGTGGTGACACGTGGTGCATGTATGAAACGATCCCGAGCGATGATTGGGTCACCGAAGAACTGATGGCAAACTGTGTCTTCGTTGGTCCCAAACGACCTAAAGGTTACGAGACGATCCAACAGGATGAAGTTGATAAGGTGACTGTAAAAGATACAGAGAAGGAAGAGCCAGCTAAAGAGATAGCTGAAGGAGGATCGAATGAAACGGAAGAATCACACACATCCGCCTTCAATATCGCACAGATGTTGACAGACAGGGGAGAGATGTGGAAGAAGTTCAAAGAAGAGGTGGAAAGGATATCAAAGGAACAGCAAAACCCAGTAACTGAGGCAAAAAACGGGGAAAGGTCACTCGATAACGGTGAGGAAGGTCCGCCGGTCGAGTTGACCGAAAAGCCATTAATGGGCCTTGAAAAGATTGACGATTTGGAAAGGTCAAAGCAGGTGGAAGAAAGGTCAAACTCTGATCAGTCGGAAAGGTCATCAACAAGAATCCGAGTAGCGAGGAGCCATCCGAGAGTCGCTACACGAAACGGGCGAAAGGCAAAAGAAACGGACAAACCTCTGCTCAAAAATTCGAAAGCGAAAAAACTTAGCGACTCGCGAGAAAACGGAAGTGACCTTTCATCAGATGATGAAGGAGTTGATGAGCGTCCACTTGAAAAGGCTGACAAAGGTCAAGCCGCTGCACAAGAATACGAGAGCAGCGATTCGGACTCGGAATGGACGAGTTCAAGTGATAATTCAACGACTTCGGAAGATTCAGGTGTAAGTGACCTTTCAGAACAAGAGGACTTAATGGATCTAGATGAAGATGACGAAGTGGACGAAGAAAAAGAAAAAGGAATTAAAGTCAGAAGATTGAAAGTGGAAAAGGCTAGAATGTCGAAAGACGTGATTAAAGTCTACAGTGACCAAAGAATTAAATTGAAACCGTCAAACTGCACACGGGTAAAGGTCAAGATGGGAAAATATGCACCGGCTCAAAACAAGTTGATGTTTACACCGGTCCCACAAATCGAAACTGATGTGCAACCGTTGGCGGGAGTGACGGATCACAGAGGGAAATACTTTGAAATCGTCATTGCGAATCACAGTAGCAAATATCAAATTGTGAAGAAGAATCAACTCCTTGGATACGTTGAACCGTATGAACATATGGAAAATGTAAAGGTCAACGCTGGGACAGTAAAGAACGTGCTCGAGGACCCAGAGGTGGACGATACGACGAAAGCTGAACTGACAAAGATAATTGGAAACCTGAAATTAGGACCTGACCTAACTGAGGAACAAAAGAACGACGTGTATAACGCGTTCTGGGAATTCTGGAAGGTCTTACCGACATCAAAGAAACCGTACGGAGATGTGAAAGGGGTCACTCACGTTATCGATACGGGAGACGCGAAACCAGTTAAATGTAATCCGGCCAGAACGAGCTGGACAGGCCGTGAATTTATAACAAAACACATTGAAGAGATGCTGGCACAAGATGTGATTGAACCGTCAGACGCCGAGTGGAGTTTTCCAGTCGTGCTTGCTGTGAAAAAGAACGGCGACGGAACGATGGGAACCAGATTTTGCGTCAACTACATCATGTTGAATAAGTTAACGAGAAAGAACAATTACCCGTTACCGAATCCGGACGAGTTGCTTGATGCGTGTGCAGGCAACAAGTATTACGGAAAAATGGACTTGCAAAGTGGATTCTGGCAGATCCCAATGGATCCAGCGTCAATTAATAAAACGACATTTGTAACGCAAGACGGAATGTACCGATTTAAAAGAATGCCATTCGGAGTTTGCAACGGACCAGCAACATTTCAATTATGCATGGATAAAGTACTATCGAAAGCGAAAAGAAAAGGTTGCGTTTTCGGCTACATTGATGACGTTATCTTCGCCGGAAAAACATGGGCGATCTTCATGCAAAATTTGAGAAACGTCTTAATGAGTCTAGTTGAAGCGGGATTTACAATAAAGCCTACGAAATGCGAATTTGGAATGAGAGAAATGGGATTCCTGGGCCATATACTCAGTGAAGATGGAATCCGAATGGATCCTGAAAAGGTCACCGCGGTCTCAGAATTCAAACGACCTCAAACAGAAAGGCAATTAAGGTCATTCCTCGGACTGGCGAATTATTATCGCAAGTTCATAATGGGATATGCACAGAAGACTTGCCATTTGTATGAACTGCTGAGACAAGATAAGCAAGTAAAGAAAGATTGGACAAAAGTACATGAGGACGAATTCAACAGTTTGAAACAACTACTGTGCGAAGGCCCGGTATTAGCGAAATTTGATCCGGCAAAGCCGACTGTCATTGAATGTGACGCAAGTAAAGAAGGAATCGGAGCGGTATTGTCACAGGATGGACACCCGATCGCATACGCGAGCCGCGTCTTAGACGGAGCAGAAAGAAACTATGGCGTAACGGAACGGGAATGTCTGGCAGTAGTGTTTGCTGTCAGAAAATTCAAACCGTTTATTGATTATGCGGAATTCACCGTAAGAACGGATCACCAGGCGCTGACCAACTTATTGAGGTCAGAAACGAATAAAGTCGGAATGAACCCGCGCCTGACGAGATGGGCGATGGCATTACAAGGTCATCAGTTCAAAATCGAATACAAACCGGGCAAATATTGCGACAATGCGGACGCGTTATCAAGAGCACCAATCGAAGGTCCGACGTGTCAGGAAGAGGAATTTGAGGAGATCCCGAACTTCGAAGATTATAAGAAGGAATTTGATACAAAAGAACCAGCAATTGAAATTGGTCAGTTGTTCTTACAGATGGCAGAACAACGAGAAAAACGATTAAAGGTCACCTCAGCTACGGCGAAGGAGTCGGCTGAAAACGAAGCAAAAGTGAACCGTGCAAAAAGCTGGCTTCCCACCGTTAGTGACTTAAAGGTCACTGGACTTGAAGCGGAATCTGAACCACAAAATGGAAAGGTCACCGGACTTTACGAAACAATGGGAAAAAGAGATGACCTTTGGGAAACGGACAAGGTTGCACAAGCGTTGAACGAATGTCCGATTAAATTGTTAAGATTCCCGAAACAGACGAAGAAGAGGTACAAACCGTTACCACGTTGCAAGGTTATCAAAGACTGGAATGAACTTAGTACGGCGACAATCCGCATCGTTAACTTGCAAGGCGACGAAGAAGAAGAAGATGACTCAAACTTGCAGTTACGCAATAAACAGTTGAAAGATCCCCATCTGGCAATGATAATAGATGAATTGGAACATCTACCAGATGCCGAAACGAGATCGAAATTTGAAGTTCATTACCAGTTGTGGAATGGCATATTATACCGAGTAAAAGATAAGAATGGCAAACTCGAAAGGTCATATGTGGTACCGTTGTCAATGCGAAGAGCGATAATCCACGCATTGCACGATGAGAAAGCGGCAGGCCATTTGGGATTCGAAAAAACACTGTCAGCAATAAGATTGCGTTATTATTGGGACAGAATGAGCACTGACGTGAAGAATTAAATACTCGCTTGCCAAGGCTGCCAATTTCGCAAGACACCGAGGAAATGTCCACCCGGTAAATTACAAGAGATAAAAGTCGGACACCCCTTCTTCCGAGTTTACGCGGATCTGAAAGGACCGTTGTTACCAACGAAGAAACGCGGATATAAATACATAGCGGTGTTCATCGATCAGCTGACGAAATACGTGATTGCCGTACCAATGAAGACGGCTACAGCCAAGGAATTTGCCAAAGTGTTCGTCAAACATGTGATATTGGTACATGGAGCGCCGCACATCCTGCACACGGATCGCGGACGGCACTTCACAGCTGAAGTGTTGACAAAGGTCACCAACGTGTTTAAGATTAAACACACATTTGGAACAGCATATCATCCAGAAGGTCAAGGCCAAGTCGAAAGACAGATGCAGACGATTGCGGATGGCTTGGCGCAATATTTGAAAGCGGGAAACGAAAGGAAGTTCAACAAGTACCTCCCATATGTTATTTCAGCGATGAACAGAGTCGTACACGCCACGACCGGATATTCAGCATATTATATGTTGCACGGCAGAGAAATGACAATGCCGGAAGACGTAGTCACAAAAACGAATATCCCAGATGATTATGGAGCTCCCGATGAATGGGTAGAGACCATGAAAAAGAACTTGATCTTTGCAGAAGAAGTGGCAAAATGCAACATTAAAGATGCTTACGAAAAGAACGCAGAGATATACAACAAGAGGAAGTCAGAACCGAACTTCAAGGTGGGTGACCTTGTGTTGATACGACTTCCGAAGGATACGAAACAAGGAAAGAAAGAAAATCAGTCGGACTTCAAGTCGAAATACGATAAAGTGTGGAAGATCCTCAGTTTCCCGCGAACAAACGAAGCGGAGGTCATTGAACAGAATCCAAAGAAAGAGGCAGACCTGAAAGTGGTCTCAATTGACCGGTTGAAGTTATGGCACCCGCCATTGCCGGACAAAGACGCAGAGCGTCAGTCCCAAAAAGCGACCTTTTTCGAACCACCTCTGCTACCCGAAAAGGAAAAGTCGGAAGAAGATAAACTCAGTGAAGCCGAGCATGCTCCGAAAAACGATACCAGTCAATTTTTCGAACCACGCTCTCTGTTACCTGATACAGGTGGAGATAAACCAAAAAAGAAGAGAGGAAGACCGAGGAAAGAGGATAAAGACTTCGAGACAGCGGTTACGATAAAGTTGAACGCAGAAGCTGGGAATCTGGCGGAAAGGTCACCAGAGACGGGTGACCTTCCTGCCACATTACCGAATCGCCAGAAGGATGGCGAAGTACCAGAGCGTACTTCCAAAAAGGACTCGCAACAATCCTTTTTCGAACCACGCACTGCTACGATGAATGATAATGACCTCATAGAAACGAGAAAAGAGGAGATAGAAGCGGTCAAATCAAAAGCTGAACAATTGGGCCGTGATATAGCGAAAGCCATCGACGAGAGAAAGGTTAAACAGAAGAAAAAGAAACTGACTCCTACAGAATTGTTGACCCAGAAAGGTGAAGTGGAAGATGCGGCCGACAAAGAACTCCTCGATCGGATAACTAAAGGACGCAGAGAAAATTAACCCACACAAACATGAATAAGGGGTTTTACGTCACTAAAAATAGGAGTTGGGAAGGTGTAAAAAGGTCATCACCGTTAAAAGGCTAACCAGTGTTGTTTCATTATTACAGAAGGTAAGCTCAGTTAATGGACAGATTGGAACGACAGAATTCAGAGAATTCGGACTCAGAAAGTATCGGGAACCCATTAAAGACATCCACCCCAAAGAGAATGGAAGGCGAATATGAGTATGACACCTCATATGGTGAAGGGTCGACATCGTCAGTCGGAATGGTACAGAACGAACCAGCCCAAGGAGGTTACTACGGTGGCCCGGGGTATTATACGTATTACGATCCGGGACAATCGACGAGTTATCAAGATACGGTTAGCTGGGTGCACCACGGCTCACTTGCCGGAACCCAGTACTCGGGACAGCCATCAAACGCCCCTTATCAATCGCAACCGGGATCGTATACCCCACTGATGGGACCACCGCAAGCGATGGAACCGGCGAGAATGTTGATGCCGCCACCGCAACAGACTACACCGAGTCGATTTATGGGACACGGAGGATTTGGCGGAATGTTAGCGTCTCCAGCGCAGTCACAAAGGGCGTCGCCAATTTTGCCACCCTTCCCGGAAACAGGAGGTCTGTTGCTGTCGGACATTGGAGCACCGCGCTTGAAAACGCCACAGCAATTGGGAGCGCAGAGACCTCATCGGAACTCGCCACATAAAGGAGGGAGGCGAGGAGGAAATCGGTTCGATTCACCACGACCGCGAGGCGTACTGCCGTCGCTGGGCCCAAATTTGGAGCAGGTCGGACCAGATGGTCTACGGGCAACGCCCCCGGGCGAACCGACGGTGCACGATTACTCACCGAAACTTCCGCTTGACATGAAAGATGACGATGCGCGACTCAATGTGATAGTGGACGATGAAGAAAGATTGACAGCGGCTGATACAGCGGCCATCCAGGATTTCAACCGTATGTGTCGGGACCTTTATAGAATTCATATGCGAGTCGAAGATGAGCATGCATTCTATGGAAGATTAATGAGTCTGGACGCGATCACTGAAGCAGTCCATATCGCGATGAAAGAAAAAACTAAAGTCATCGAAGTTAAACGTAAAGAGTTGGCGATCAGAATCGCCTCGATGAAGCAGTATCATCCGGCTTTAACTCACAGAAAATGGCCACCGATGATTGAGAAGATACAGATATTCCTTAAGACGATTCCTAAAGAAAGGGGACCCTCGACAAGCAGCACAGCGGGGCCATCACGGACATTAGTTGAAGCACCGGTAGGGGAGATGTCAGACAGCGCTCTCCTGGAAACAAAGAGAAAGATCGAGACGGAATTAACCGAACGAGCAGAAAGGTCACGAGCTAGCTCAACCGCAGGATCAGTACGCGGACGTACCGGCTCGGTTACGGAGCCGTCTAGCGGAACCGTAAAAAGCGGAAAAAGAGTAAGGTCACCGACGACAAGCCCAAAAGCAAGTGACAAGAAGGAGCAGCGGACGAAAAAGGTCACGACGAGTAAAGCACCGATTCCAGTGGGCAGAAAGAGTGTACCACCCACGCCGCAGGATCCTGAAGCTGCTTCGGTTCGACTTCCCAAGTGCCGGACTTTTACAGTCAAATATACGGGAACTGATCATAACGAACGAAAGGTCACCGCTCGGATAGTCGATAAAAGAACGAACAAGGAGATCGACTCATACAATCCTCTAGCGGACAAGTCAGTTAAAACTGAAATTGGGGAAAGGGCAAAGACAGAAGTCAATGAGGCGTTACAGTTCATTCCCCCGGAGGAACGTCATAATCCGAGAGTTCTCATTCAAATGATGAAGCACGTGGTGTCCAAAGTTGCGATCGAAGAAAACGCATGGATCCGCATTAAGGTGGGCACAAATGACGACCACTTGGCATACACATACTCAGTGGACGGGAAATTGCTGGCGACAGAGAGAATTCGTCCGAAACTGACAGCAGACCCTGACCAAAATAAACGAACACTAGACGATTACGAGTCAACCCTGAAATATACCGACGGGACGTGCAGAAAGGTGACGCTGACTCTCCACTTCGGCGACGGAACAACGGATTGTTTAACCGCAGTAATCGTTGACCCGATTACAGGAGATCCGATTCCATATGCCCCATGGGACGCGTCAGAAGAGAGCGCTGAACACGCCAATCGGGCAGCACTTGAACAGCTGTGGAACTTGATACCAGTAAGCGAACGTCAAGATCCTTTGATTCAAGCGAACACGCTGATCAGCATGATGCGACATCGAGCGGAGCTAGACGAAGCCCATTTTCGACTCACAAGAAAGACGGAAAATGGAGCGTACAAAACGGTGTTTTATGACGCGAAGAAAAACCCTTTGTGGGAGATCGTCACACAGGGACAGACGGTCGAAACACCGCATTTGGAAATTCAGACCCAAAACCCGGCACAAGAAAGTGGAGCCGGAGAGATGGCAGAGGCTTCCGTAGCCAAAGTGGCAAGAACGGAGAGTACCCGAAGACCATCGAAACAGGACGAATCAGAAGAGGAGGAAGCTTACGATGATTCGGCAGAGGAACAGACCGACGAAGACGACGACATGGCTGAGGAAGATAATCAGCCTCCGAAAGTGGTCGTTAAACCGAGGAAAACGCCCAGATTAGAAGAAGCCATGAACCGTGAGAAGGTCAAGAAAGGTGACTTTCTAAAGAAACGAAAGGAAAAGGAAGATAAGAAGAAGAAGAGCGGTGATGAAAGCGAGAGCACAAGCACCCGGAGAAAAAGGGAGGAGAGAAATAAGAAGGACGAACCGTCGTCTCATGATGTTGAAATATTAGACGAACCAGTCGGTGAAGCGGAAGAAAGGCCATCCATACCTATTATTCCGAAGAAATTTGTTATCGAATCGGCTACATCAAAGTCAAAGGTCACCGAGCCTGAGCCGTCAACATCCAAAGGAAAGGTCATAGCTGTGAAACAGATCGTCCCAGTGGTTATCTCGGCATCCACTACGAAGGAGCGTAGGGAGAAAGGCAAGCGTGAGAAGGCAAAACGAGAAACGTCTCGTGAATCAGAAGCTTCGGAATCCAGCCTCCCAAGTACTTCAAAGATTAGTGCGAGGTCACACACGGACCCGAAAACAAACAGATCAAGAACCGTAGAACCAGGAAGCCTAGCGGAGGCTCTTGAAAAAGGGAAAAAAGCAAAAAGCGAACCCGTCAAAACGAAAAAGAAAGGGAAAGAAGCCATGAAAATTGACGCATTGACAATGGTTAACTATATCGAACCGGACGGTGACAGTGAACTTGACTACTCGGGGGATGAAGCGGAATTTGAAGATCCCGATAGCGATAATTTGACCACGATTGACGAAATTATTGATGCGTTCGATGGAGCGGAGAAGAATTTTACACGGATACGAACGACATCAGTAACATCAAAATTTAGAACGGGCTTAAAGAGATATTTGAGAAAAGAAATGCACCGTAGCTTCACCAAACAGAAGTTCGATGTGGTGTTGGAATACGCACGGAACGCGGGAAAACTCCTTCAGAAACATCCGAATTTTGCGTATAAGGCTAAGCTATTCAGACCATCCAGTTCGGACAAGTCGCTGACGACTCCAAATGAAGATAGCTCAATGCGAGTAGAAAGGGCAATCGCGGGAATGACAAGCCCGTTGGGGTCAACAAGTCACCGCATCAGCCAATACATCAATGCCGTTTGGAATGACGGAAAAGGGATGATTAAGGAAATCGACACAGCAACTGAACGTGTATTGCCAAGGCTGATAAAACAGAATATCCTGTCAACAACGAACGCACATAAAGGATATCCGATCCGATACACGAGGGTAGGCCTGATACCGCCGGAAAAACAAGTCCATTGTACCATGTCCGACAGTCAGGAGATGGATAAAGTGCCATCGAGTGGAGATCCAACAACTCCCATATTGAATCGGATCGCGCAATTAACAGCTGAAGAAGAAGCCGCTCAGGCTTCTTCTAAGAAAACGACGAAAAAGAAAGGACCAATGGACGTGGAATCGGGGGAGAGTGACGACGACGCCTCTGTCCCAACGCCTTTGGAAACGGCGACAGAAAAGCCTAAAGGTCAAGAGACACCTGTAACCGCGACAGAAGAAACTCAACCGAAAGGTCACGAGACTTCAGAAAAAGGGGAGAAAGAAAAGGTCATGCTCCCAATGGACAAGGCAGCGGCAGAAGCAGAAGCTGCATCTGCGCGACAGGTGTACCAGAAATCATTGTTCACACCATTGAAGGAGGCTTTTGAGAAAGAGCGGCCGAAGTCAGCAGATGAAGTGGGAGGTCACGAGACTTTACCACAGAAGGAGAAAGCCGATGAACCGAAATCTGCTCAGTCATCATCTGGCTCGCTGGCAAAACTGCGGATTGATGAAACGGAAATAACTGACCCAACGGACTCGGCAATATCCCCCCAGAAACCGGAGACTAGCGTATAAAAACAAAAGAGCCGACAGATTACACGCTAGGCGCGCCGTTGGATGTGACTAATCGGACATGGGGCGAAGTCCAGGTTGCACTCCAGAATATTAGGGAAGGCGAAATGCTTGGCGCAGACTTGAAGAGACAAGTTGCTGAAAATTCGAATGGAAGGTCATCACTCAGCATGACCGAACGGGTCTTGAAAAGAGCATATAAGGAAGGAAAGTTGGGATGCAAATATAACAAGGACAACAAAGTTATTTACTACCTTCCGAAACAGGGCACGGACCGCACGCCCAGGCTGAAAATGGAATTGGAAGTCTGGAAAATAGCCATCACAGATGTGGCCTTGGACGCCATCGGTGGTACCAATGGAGTGTCATGGAATGACCTTTCGAACTTCATGGCCGTCCATTATGAATTGGGAGAATTGAATATTGAGAACGATAAAGAATGGATCAAGAATGCCGTTGAAGCATTGATCGCAGATGAAGTGCTTCACATTAACCAGGACGGCCGAGTTGACTTCAAGCCGTATAACCCACCGGCGAAAGAATCTGAATGAAGGGGACGAGTGTAATATGCAGCGAGTAATGAACCCTGCATATTACATAAAAAGCATAAAACAGTTAAAAACGAATGAGAAAAGTTTTACGGAAAATTGAAAGTGAAAAAGTCAATTCGATTGATAAGACTAATAGAAAAGGTCACAGTAGTCAGAAAGTACTGATAACGTGAGAAAGGTCACCACGTTACAGTGATAGAAAGGGCAGCAGGAGCTAGGAAAGTCCCAGCTCAGTAACGGAATAGGCGTAAAAATGCTAGAGAAGCCTTGATAATGGATAAGATGGAAAAGATTAACGTGGAAAGGTTATTATGATGGATTGTTTTCTGATTGCAGATTCAAAACGGAGAAAATGGCACAGAAAGGTCACGCCACTCCTAAAAGCGCAGGACCCGCGTCGGAGATAAACAGATCTACGGGCTATAACCCAAAGTGTCCGGACTGTTTACGGAATAACAGAAAAGTCGACAAGAAGTTCCCGTGTTACACTTGCGTTCACAAGTTGGGAGACCCACACATTGTTTCACTTGTGGGACTTATGGAAGCTAAACGGGGAAACATGGATGTTTTTCGAAACCTCATCAGCGCGAGGAATTACGGCAGCATCCCAGTGGAAGAGCGAATGTTACTAGAGGATCGATACCGGGAGGCGATCCAGAATAACGAAAGCGGTTGGGACGAGACTTTGGAGCCGCTGAAATGCCCGCAAACAGATGCATACCGTAAGAAGTTTGAGGAGGATCAGGAGAAGATGCGACGACAACAGCTGGAGGATGAACTCCGGGCGAAGATCAATGCGGCGAATCAGAAGGCGAGCGAACAGGCCGCACGAGAGGCGCTGCCCAATTCATCGAGCTCAGCCGTACCCACAGCGAGTCACAACGACGATGAAGCCCAGTTGACACGCCAGTCCCTGATCATCCAGATTGACACGCTGACAAGCGATCCGGCCGCCATGCAACAGGAATTATTTGATGCGCTGTTGCGAGAAAAGCTGAGACTACAGAAAGGTTGGAAATTTGTCAATACCTGGGGATCGAATATGACTCGGTTGAAGCAAATAAGATCGGCACCATAATGCGCCAGTTACGTCAATTTTTATTTGATTCGGGCTATGCGAAAGAAATCAAAGAAGGAGTGGAACAAGGAAGTTTCCGTCAACTATACATTCCCCGCGACTCAGCAAGAGATTGTTACCTCCCTATCCGACGAAACGGATTACATAGCCTGTTGGATCTGAATCTGTTGGACGTGCCACTGGATACGACTGACCCAGTCGGGATGACACAATTTTACTATAGAGATTATCCCGAACGACAAGAATATGTGGCTCAGTTTGTTTTACGACACGTGAATCCAGCCTTCAAGTTGCTTGCAGCAAGAGCATCGATCGGATTACAAGTGGATCCTAAAGACCATGCCGCAAAAAGGATGGGGCAAAAGGTTTTTGCTGCGAGATTGGCACATTATAAGACACATAACCAGTTGGTGTCCAATACCATGAAGGACGATATCCCACTACTCTTCCGACCTCACGTGGCGAAATTGGGCGAACCTATGGAACATGTTGGAATAGCCCATACGGCAAGAAAGGCACTGAAAAAGTGTAAGATACGAATGGAAAAGGGTAATCTTACACAACGCCACGCCTCCCAGGTAGAAGAGAGGATTAATAAGATCAAAGACACCATGGGAAGTGACTACGTCGAACCTTTTGACGGAGTCGAAATGTACATTGACGAATTCCTTGTGAAGAAAAGTGACCGACGCCCGGAACGCGCTCCTAACCAGATAGGACGGCGTGGCCTAAGAAACCAGCAACTCCGCGATAACCTCGCTGACGTGCAACAGAGATTGGCGGATGACCCTAACAGCCGGAGACTCCGGCTAGAAGAAAATGACGCACGCCACCGGGTAGAGGCGGTTAAACGCAGTCGCCAAGGGAAAGGTCGTGGTCAGCGAGAAGTTGACCCGGAAAAGGTCATGGCAGTTGATTCCACGGAACCAGTTGACCGAACGTCTGACCGCAATCAACCGGAAAGTTCTAAGAAGCGCCCGCCAAGAGATGGCGAGGACGATTCAAATGAAATGGAATAGTGTTGATCGTCAGGATCACACTATTAAAAAGGCGTCTACGGCATATGTCGGTACGTCAGAAAAATGAAACAGGGTGTTGTATAAAAGGGCGTTATGACTTGTTTACATAAACTGTATTCATGTATTGTTGTTTTCAGCGTTTATAGCACAGAATTGCCTAAAAGAAATCATGTGGAGCATCTAATTGGGGTAAACTTGATGCGGCAGCCAGCCGGCCCCAACGGAGTTGCTACGGCAATTAGCCGGCTCTCCTCCTTAAGCGATTCAGTGTTATAAATTTTCAAGAGAAACTACGGCAATCAAGCCGGATCTCTTGAATACGAAAAAGGGCCACAAGCGGCGAAAAACAGAAAGACAACAGGTGGAAATATTAATGAGGTAAACTTGATGCGGCAGTTAGCCGGCCTCATTAGAGTTGCTACGGTAAACTATGCCGGCAATCTCTCTGAGTGACCCAGTATTACAAATCAACGAGAGAAATAGCGGTAACCAAGCCGGATCTCTCGTACCGAAGTTGGGCCACAAGCGGCGAACAAGAGTAAAAGATTTAATGTGGAAGCGTCATGGGGTAAATTTAATGCGGTAGCAAGCCGGCCCCATCAAAGATGTTACGGTAAACTCTGCCGGCACTCTGGCCGCTCGAGGCATATTGAAGTTGGATGTGCGACAGAAAGGTCAACTTAAAAGTTTTACCAGGGAGGCAAGCGAAGAAATGCTTGAAAGTCGGCAAAAATCGGCTAAGTTCCTCCATGACCTTTACCGGAGATTTGAAGAGAAGATGGATGACCTTTGGGATCACTATTTCCCAACAGAGTCATCGTATTGGAATTTAAGTCGCATGACCTTTTGGGACCATTAACCCATAACGAGTCGCACATCTCAACGGATCATCTCAACAAAGGATGACCTTTATCAGGGAGGAAGCGAACTACGCTTGTCTATATGACGTCCCTCCATGACCTTTAGTGGATCTCATTTTGAAGTCGTACAATTGATACGCACCTTATTCCAAAGATGAAGCACTAGTACTAAATCTAAAGTACTAAATAAAGTACTAAATCTAAATGGTTATAAACTGGATTATTGCGAATGCCGACGCAGAACATTAATAATTTCATCTGTGAATTATGCGGAAAAGTTTGTGCAACTGCTCATGGGATCGGAAAACACCGTGATAGTGGAAAATGCAGAGAAGCACAGGCCAGAAATCTACGTAGCGAACCCGCGATCCCCTCAGCATCCCGCCAAGCCATCTCTCCAGAAGAAAAGCTAGAGGACACACTCTCTCGCTTAAGGCGGACTAACCCCATTCTCCCGCGTGTTCCAGTTGGTGCCAGAGATGCGTGTGCAGATGCTTTTGCGGAATTGTTATTCGCATGCTGCGCCAAAAACGATATCGGTGCATGGAGCGACTTGATCCTTTTCGCACCGAATATCCTAACAGCTCCTCCTACGAAATCAGGCAAAGGGCCATCGCTCGCTACATCGGTCAAACGGAATTTGACAGGAAGACAGTCGGACACTGCTCCCCCTCTGGGAAAGAAGCAGCAGAAACCTAAAGCAGCACCGGCAGTCAAGGCCAAGTTAGTGAACGCCAAATTAGAATGCGGGTCGATAGGGAGAGCGATGAACATCCTTGTGTCCCAAGAAACCATCGCTCCTCTATCAGATGAAGTTATCGCGACTTTAAAAGAGAAGCATCCAGGTCGACCCGTTGACCTGGATGATACGGTGCGTATCGTCGACGTGGCTCCAGCTGACGTAACACACAGAGAACTGCTATCTGCTGTTGAGTCGTTTGATTCAGGTACATGCCCAGGCCCCGATGGACTACGCGCGGACCACCTGAAGGATCTGTTGTTCACTCAGGGGGAAACCCGCCGCAAGTTACTGGATGCCCTGGTTAAGTTTGCCGACCATGTATTGAAGCGGGAAATCCCAGCGGAGGCAAGGACCATTTTCTTCGGGGCAAACTTGTTTCCCTTTGTGAAACCTAACGGCGGCATTCGCCCCATTGCCTCTGGATGCACACTACGCCGCCTAGTCGCAAAAATCGTGTGTTTTCGGTTGACGGAAGAAATGGGAAATTATTTCCGACCCATCCAGTTTGGTTTCGGCACTAAGAAAGGAGCGGAAATAGTGGTGCACAGCGCCAGAGAATTTTTGGAAACGTCGTCCACAAAGCCACGAGCATTTGTTAAGTTCGATTTTACTAACGCATTTAATACAGTCCGGCGAGACAAGTTGTTAGCCAAAGTTTTTGAGCGGATCCCAGCGTATTATAATTTCGTTCATTCAGCCTACGGTGACAGCACAACTTTGTTTTGCATTTCCCCTAATAGTGGAATCACCATTCCCTCGGCTTGCGGTGTGCAGCAGGGAGACCCCTGCGCACCTATGTACTATGGCCTACTGACGCAGGATGTCTCTTCCCAGAGTGAAGCCGCAATTAACCTCTGGTATTTAGATGACGGTGTTTCCGCAGGAGATCCGCAAGCGGTGAAAGACACTCTGGTAAACATCCAAGGAGCAGCCGCCACAGTCGGATTGCAGTTAAACACGGCAAAATGCGAGCTGTACGTGGACGGCGGAACCGTCGATGAACGGCAGACCGTGATTCAGTCCTTTTTGAACGCTGCACCGGATATCCGACTTTCGAAACCCGAAGAACTGGAACTGCTGGGTTCTCCTCTGCTGAACGAAGCTGTTTCGGGCGCGTTGATGAGGAAGGTCGGTCAAGCACAAGTGCTTGCCGACCAGCTCGGTATATTGCCTTCACATCAAGCGCTGTTTCTACTTAAAAACTGTTTGTCGCTGCCGAAATTATTGTATCTCCTTAGAACCTCACCCTGCTGGCAGTTCCCGGAAGAATTGAAGAAATTTGATGAAGTCATCAGTGCGAAAACAGAACAGCTGACCAATGTGGCAATGATCAGCTCAGTCTGGACACAAGCCTCGCTACCTACAAAATTTGGAGGCCTGGGACTGGTCTGTGCAGCGGACGTCGCGTTAGCTGCCTATGCCGCATCGGTTCACGGAGCGGCCGACATGGTGTGCTGCATTACGGGCAACGCCTCTATGAAAGAAAGGACCAACCAGCTAACCGAAGTGTGGAGTGGACGTTATTCCCTGGAACCCCCGCGGATGGAAAGCCGACACCTTCAGTCGGCCTGGACAGCACTGCAACATACCCAGATAGCATCCCGCATGATGGAGAATGCCGACGTATTTACCTCTGCTCGCCTGTTGGCTGCATCCTCACCGGAATCGCGTGCCTGGTTGTCTGCTTTGCCGGTAACAATATTTGGAAATTTACTGGAGGATGCCCACTTACGAATAGCCGTGGCGCGCCGGCTGGGAGCTCCAGTATGTCAGATGCATGTGTGTCGATGCGGCAGCACCGTGGACAGTCTCGGACACCATGGCCTGGTTTGCAAGCTGGCGAAAGGAAGGCTCGGTGTCCACGCCGTTCTGAATGAAGCAACTAAGCGGGCTTTGACTTCGGCAAAAGTGCCTTCCTCACTCGAGCCGGTGGGCTTAGACAGAGGCGACGGAAAGCGGCCCGACGGAGTGACAGCTTTCCCGTGGAAGAATGGAAAGCCGCTAGTGTGGGATGTTACCGTGGCAGACACTTTTGCCCAAACTTACATCGGCCAGACGTCCAGAGCGCCGGGGAGTGCAGCGGAAATACGGGAAAACCGAAAGTTAGGAAAGTACAGCGGGCTGGCAGATCGCTACGTTGTTCAACCGCTGGCGTTCGAAACTACGGGAACATTCGGACCGCTGACGAAGAAGTTCTTTAAGGATTTGTCGAGAAAGATCTGTGACTGTACAGGCAACCCTCGCTCAGGGGAGTTTTTGCGTCAGAAAATAGGTATCGAGATTCAGCGAGGAAATGCAGTATCTGTTCTCGGTACTTTTAGTGACATGGTGGAGAAGGAGGATGTGTATTTTGCCTTCAAATTAGCTAAACGGCAATGAATGTCAAGGATTGTTGTTTTTGTTACTTGTGTAATACGCTATGTAATTCAATAAAGCCGACTCGGAAGATGAAGCAGTATTTCTAAGTCGTACTTGATACGCAAATTGATTCTCAAGCGGATGTGATGAAAAGTCGCACTACACGTGCGCATGTTGCTCAAGCGGAGCGAAGTGGCTCAAATTGGAGCGGAATTGGACCAAAAAGTTTTTAACGGTTGACGGGGATACCTGTGACCTTTATGAGTGGAGGATCCTAGTCTACGGAATTTTGATAAACTGCATCTGTTGATCTGTTTAACTGTTGATCTGTTTTGTATTAGAATTAATATGGAATAGTATTTTGATACAGATCTCTTTATTTCACATTGTGCATTTGGACGGAGCGGAGCTCGGCATCCCCCCAGAGGCATGTGAGCGGGGGTTCACTAGCGTTCACGCCCGTAACGCTGCGCCACCTGGATTACGTGTCTGTGTTGTGTCTCGCCTCTGATTGGCTGGCTTGAGTTGTGTTAGTGGGCGCGGCTTAGCACGTGCTGCACAGTGTTACACACTGTTGAATTGGCTCTACGATTTGCGATCGAGCTGCGCCGATCACTTGTTGATTTCTGGTCTCCAGACTTTCAATATATTAAAAGTCAGCAATTACGGTGCGACATTTTGTGTTTCCGCATAGCTCGCCATCCAGATCGTATTGCTCGCTCTACGGGATAGATTCCGTTTCTGTCTCCGTCCCTGGATCCATTCTGGATCTAGCATTAGAGTGTCATCTTGTCAGAGGAATCACGGGATCGTAGACAGCGCGGGCGTGGCCAGTCTGCCGTATCTAACGCTGAATTCATCCTTGCAAAATTTTACTGATGTGTTAAGAACCGCGGAAGTGGATTTCTTTACTGATCGCACCAATCAAACTGATGTGATTACGATAAATTTTTATGATTTTATTCAGTGTGTTTTATAAGCCACTGCGCCTTTCACGGATTACTGTCGGTTTTGCAGACATTTTGGGGATATCCGCGGTATCTTAAAATCGAACTGCGTTGTCAGTCCACAGTAAGCCCATTTTTTAAAGAACCATTTGCTCTGAACTGCATTAATATTTTCTCCGGTGTTCTATGAAAAATTGCAGTATTCATGCAAGCGAATTTGTGATAATAATTAAATGGAACAGTTTTTTAACATCGTTATGTTTTGCTTTAAAAATACGATCAGTCTTCGTTAAATAACAGTATAATTTGCGTCACGTTGTTGCTGCTGAATTACTGCAGTTTCAGTTGAGGAACTGTTATTTAGGAAATATTTACGTAATTTCTTGAATCGTTTCAAAGCTTTCGACCTCCAGTTACGCTTCGTTAACTAGGACAGTTTGCGCGAAATGATCAACAAGGGCCTTGTCGATGAGAATCCGCGGATTTTAATGCGACTGACTTCATTTGACGGTATAACTATTAAATTTTTCTGCTGTCTGACCTTTCTCTTGTCTCCGATTTCTCTTGGCAAATGCTTTTCTTTCTTGCAGACACCACGTTACGGGTCACGAAGCGCCAACTGCTGGAACTGGAAGGCGTCTTAGTTTACGTGAGTCCTGATCAACGTACGGCACGCGCCACAGTTCTTCCGCATTAAACAGCATGTTATCATTGCACGAGCGTTGCAGGAAGCTCTGGACAACCCGCGTGGTTGGTACCGCTTCCCATCAGCGACAATATCCAGGCAATCGAAGTCACCGTGTGCAGCAGCGATGGAGCCGCCGGTCTGCAACCATATCGGTATGTCACGTCTTTTCGGCAGAGTTGGCTTAAAAATACTACATAAACGATAAAGTCGCGGTATACAAGTCTATTCAATAAATACTTGGAATCTATTCATTACCGGAAAAACTCTTTTGATAACCTTTTACCTGTTGTAATCGGAATCTGTGGAAATGTACGAGTATAACGAAGCGTAAGAAATGTAGTTTGGTAAAAGAATGATTTTTTTACAATACTGTGCGTTTATACTGTATGCTTGAAAACTTGATAAGGAATTTAATCCATAATTAGATTTTTGATAAATTAATTTATAACTTCGGGAGAATAATTTCTCTCGTGGTTTCATAACCGAATGTTCCTCGCACAATTCGCTTTCATAATTAACGTTTATGGAACAGCCGTTTCTGGACTGCAAGAATGTGCTTCGGATGAAGCAATTGGGAACTCCCAATTCCCTTATTTGAAAAAGGTCACATGTTATAATGTATAGCGCGTCGTCTGTAGGTTCGTCCTCAACTGGGAATTCCTGGGCGCGATGAATCCCGACGGTCAGTTCGGAATCAACCGCACCGCCCTCGCCGCCGTCCCCGTGGGGCGGCTATTCTTCGGCGACACCATCAACAGTGTCACCGGCATTCCGCTACCGAGGATCCTGGTGCCGGGAACCGGCAGCATGTTCTACTACAGCGTGGACGACTGGCGGACGGTGGAGCAGTTCAACCTGACCAAACATCCCATCGGTGTGCCGATCTGCCAGATCAGTGACCAGACCATCTCCTGGCTCATCCAGCATGCCGTGCTTCATGATCGCTTACTGGTGGCTACCAACGTAAGTTGCATCGACAGGCGACAGATATACAGTGTACAGTGGGTTTCCCTGGCTTTTGCTTGCAATACACCACAGCTGCATAAGAAAATTATAGTAAACTACTTTTTGACATTCATTTATTTTGACTTAGACTGTACCGGTAAATGTATCGTTCTAAGGGAAGCGGCCGGTTCATGGTATCAAATTTGTGTACAGACATGAAAACATTAACTTTCGCGCACTCCCAAACAAGTTTTTGCGTTGTTTTATGGCATTCTGTGCGCAGATGCTTTACATACGTTGGCGTGAAAGCCATTCGCGCACGCGCGGTCCAAGAGTTATACCTACAAGGAAATTCCTAAAAGTTTGAATGCGCTCAGTGTACCACAGTCTCATTATGAACCGATTTTCTTCGAATTTCATATGTACAGTAAGCGCTCATATACATGACGATGGTTTTTCCGCCGTACTCACCCAGCCACATTGTTCCGACATTTTGTTTCACATTTTAATATCAGTTTTAAAAATTGTGTAAGCTTTTTCGAATTTTGAAAAAAAATACTGCGATTCTGGTTCGGTGCAAAAACGATCCTCAGACTTACGTTCCTTTATGTGCAAAATTAAAAGACGATCGGTTTACAATGAGAATTTTGGTACACCTGAATGCATTCCAACTTTTTGGATTTTTTTGCAGCTATAACACCTGAACCGGATGTTGCGCGCACAAACGGTTTTCTCGCAAATAAACGTATGCAACTGATCTGGCTACAGAATGCCGCAAAAGAAGAGTTACAAACATGTTTGTGAGTGCGCGAAATTGAAAGTTTTCGTGCATGTACGCGAATCTGGTACCATGTACCGGGTCATTTCCCTTAACGCGTATTGCCTAAGCAAGCTTCGCCGTTCTCCCCCAATCATGGCGATTTTTTTGTACTTTTTGGAACCAAGCGGCTTTCTGTACATACCAAAAGTTTACGTAGCGTCAAGACAATCTTTTGATTAAGAAAATCTGTTTTTACGAGACCCAGAAACCGTTTTTCTGAACTGTGTGTGGAAAGGAAAAAAACGGTTTTTTATTTTACCATTTTAACGTATAGGTTTATCGTATGATACCTAAGGTTTTATTGGTTTGTTAACACGGCGGCGTTTCTATCCGAATTACTGTTCTCGTATAGCCAGTTGGTCTATCTGTTTGATGGGCGACGAAGATCGAATACTGTCAGAAATTGTGCATTGTATTTTCTTTGTTGATTACGCTGTAACGAATTGACAGAACTATCGTGTTGTAGTTTGGATTGCTGCAACTGCTATCCACCCGCGGAAAGAAGAAATATCCGCAAATGCCAACGGAGACCGTCATCCTGGCGAAGTGCGTTAACAAGATCATCTTTCCGCCGCTGGATACTCAGGACACTCCGTACCTGACCGCGATCACCGTTGACTATGAGATCTTCACCGCGCCCTACTTCAGTCCTAGTGCGTGTACTCCGCTGCCTTACTAATGATCCTAGTCGAGATTTGGGAATGATTAGTTTTTTCTAATAGATGGCAGCTTGATTTTCACGGCGGTGTTGTCCAAGGAAAACTTTTATACCGGCATCCAGAAATTACTCCCGAACTACGGCAGGCACGGTGTGATCGACGTCGTGGAAGGCACGTCACGGGGCGTGCTGGCGTTGATGAGCGGGGACAGTATGTCGATGGATGTTACCGATCCTGGGAAGACCTGCTTGATTTTCGTCGGTATGTTTCTGTTCTTTGATATTCGCCATTCGGCGTTTTTCATAAGTGGAAAGCTACCAATTTAGGCCGAAGGAATTCAGTTATTGACAACGCGTAAAGCAGTCAAGCGTATCCACTGCCCAGTGCGGCAGCGTAATTCGGTTTCAATTCCAATAGTTTCGGAAAACTCCCGTTGATTTTCATTTTTAATTCTGCGTTTCAAAACGGATGTTATTCGGCAGAAATTTTGGTTGAGAACGCAAACAACAATTTTGGGAGCAATTTTAAATTATAAACGTTTTGATTTCGAAGAAAACTTTTGCCTATCAAGCGAAATGCAGCAAAATTAATATAAAACCGCACATTATAAGTGCAACGCCCTTGTTGTGTAGATGCAGCGACGTCAGCCATGACCATCCGTTCCTGTCTCCCGTCATTCATCCCGGAAACGGACGAGCGGCTGCCGTTTATTGCCATTGACAACAGCACCCGCTTTACAACGCGGATAATCAGCATCAGCAGGGTGCTGCGATCGATCGGAGGTAATCGCGAAGGAGATTTACGCCGTTGGCAACACTTGTCTGAGAACGGATCATGTACAACGAAGTTTATCCGTAGATCTGGATTACCAACTGGGATCAACCGGCCTTCTACCGCATCTATCCATCGTCCGCCTGGGACACCGCACTCATGCTGTCCGGTGATACCGCATTATGGCAGACATGGCAGGCTGCAGAATACAGGAAGCTCCTGTTCATCTGTTTCGACTGGTTCGGCAATCCGTTCCAGGTAGAACCGAATGCAACGACCCACGTGCTATCACTTACCGGGATGTACTGTTTGCCAGTTATTCAGCGTCTATATAATGAATGGCTGGAAGATGCTGAGAATTCCGTTGCGAGCGGAGGAGATTATTGCGTCCCTGTCCAGTTCGGCTCTGAATGTGCTGGCGGATGCGCCGGCACTGCAGAGCTTCACCACAAAAAACTGCCCGCAAGTACAGGTTAAGGTCAACCGGCGCCACTACCTGGAACGACTGGAGGTGAATTTTCCCTAATTTTTCAATGACAAAATATCGAAAATTAAAATAAATTCTTATGCATTTTTAAATGATAACTATTTAAAATAATATTCAATTTTATTAACTATTTACCTATCTGTTAATTAAGTATTACATATTTATTAATAAATGATAGCAAGATTCGCTCATTTAAATATCGTTTGTTAATAATTCCTTAATTTAATGTCTTCCCGACACCGAGCTGCAGTACAACTGGCAGCTCGTACTGGCATCCAGCACACCGAACAGGACTTTCTTTGACTGTTCCGATCCGGAGCCCAATATGCGGTGTATTGGTCACAACGCAACTAAACAAAAATTAAAGTTGTTGAGATTAATGGTTCCTAAATTTCCAAAATTAATGGTTCCTAAATGTCATTTACCAAAATACGTACTTACCTTTGGAAGAGTAGAACACTACACTTTAGAACACTATACATGTCATTAGCAAAACTGATCTGACCTTTATTTGACCTTTGGACCTTTGCCATATGGTACGGGCTCTCCGTGCACGCCAGGAAGTGGCGAGAATGATAACCGCGCGAAATTACTGGAAATTATTGATTTATCATTTGACCCCGATAATGTCCCTTGATTTCATCTGCTGATTATGCGTGTTGATCGCACAAACGGTTCTCTGCCAATGTCTATTGGGAGAAGCTCCTGATCGTGTATCTCACGTCGACCATCGCAACCGCGCTACTGAACGCTCCAGAAACGATAAAAATATTAAACAGAAGAGCCCAGCTGATAAATCACCCAGTCAACCATCTATTCAAAAACCTCCAGCTGCGGTAGACAATGAGCGCGCTCTAAAGGGATGCAGTAGAGTAGCTGCGATTGGCTTTATTTATTTGCAGCCATCTCCGAAAGGGCCACCACCGATCACTTCCCATTATGCTATCAACACGCAGCCGAATGAAATCCCTCCGCGAACCGATCAAAGTGCGTACTAGTTATACTGAAAATTAAAATTAATTGTCTTTAAGGTAAACAGAATAATAATTTAATATATTCTTTTTAAATTCCTTTTTATTTATTTTGATTCAATTTACAGCGTTATTTTGTAAATAAATTCGACAATGCGGAAAGATTTTTTTTATTTTCGTATTAATTAGTCCTTAATTTTTATTTTTTCGGTATATTATTCGAGCACTCTATTTATTACAGTTTTGATCGACTGTCTAGTCTCCGTGAAAGAGCACCAAAACAACTCGACCCAGGTACAAATCAACGAGATCCGTCAAAGGGCAGTTTAATACTGGTTCGCCTCAGCCAACCAATACCGTAAAACTACCAGCACCGCCTCCGCCCGCCGCCCCATTCTTCCTCCGGGAGATCAGCGAAGTCGGGTGAGAACAGTCAGGCGCCGCGGCGACAACAGGCCCCAACCAAGACTCGGGTAGAGCTCTTGGTTCAATCGAGCCCCAACCATAGTTCGGCGAAGGGGAAGAATGTTTATGGCTCCAACAGCGCATTGCAGTTTCCTTCGCCAAGAGCAACCACGATCTCAAGGATTTCTATGCCCGTACGTGACCTTTCACAGAATTTTGCTGGCAATTAAAATAACTTAATAATTTATAAAAAATAGCTTCTTTTTTAATTTTTGCCGCATACAAATGCGACATGGTTAAAAAGTTGTTCCTCAAAATATCGGCAAATATATAAACTTGAAACCAACCATACAGCTTAGGACAAAATGGTCACATACCCAACATATCCACATTCAGTACGCATGCAGCGCAGTGCACTGTAGGACTGAGTTCAAAATATCCGGTTGTACAAGTGCACTGCACCACATGCGTACAGAATTTTGGGTATGGGGTTATGCGACCATTTCGTCCTACATTATACAATTTGCACAAGATATTCCTTTCTGATCTCGAAAACGATGCAATAAACACATTTGTGTTTATCTTGTACATCACAGAGCACCCGCGATACGAAGCGGACGCCATTGAATCTAAAGGCCGCGCAGTCTCACACATGAAGATTATGAGAAATGCCTTCCGCCCAGCGCATACGCGACTCCCGACGCAGAGTCATCGCGCCTGACCGTGCTGGTCGAGCCACCCGATAGCGCCAACAGCCTTAACAATCAGCTGTCACGGTGGAATTTCGGGACATTTCAGCATGTCGTCGATACGCAGCGTAATTCTTGTTATTATTTGGATGCGACCCAAAATAAATATTTTGAAATAAATTTACTGATAAACAATAACAATTTTTGTTTCTCAGTTTAGCGATCCCGGCACCGTATACTGACCGCGGCTAATCACCGCCTAACGACAGTGCTTTCGTGAAATCGAGATTGTCCGCAAAATCTCGAGTTTCCCCACTATCCCAATGCTCCCGCGTATCCTCAAGTAAGCATCACGAAATTCAGTTAAATATCCCATTTGTCTGAAAACGTTTCAACGCAATTTTTAGAGAGTCCGTCGCCGGTAGCGCGTTCGCCGGTGTACGACAACGAGGAGCTGGACGACAATAATCCCTTTGCCACGGAGATCCGGCAGCCGCAGTCGCGCCGCTCCCTGGAGTCTAAAGGGCGGAAGGTGTGCGACCGGAAGTCCCCGTCGAAGAACAGCCTGGGCAGCGTGCACGAGTGTAGCCGGCAAGAATGTTAACATGTTCACGGTTCACGGAGTGAGCATATTTCCCGGGCGAAAATGCTTGTGAGCATTTTTGACGGGTGAAAGTGCTCACGAATGAAATCATGTGTGTAGAGTGCCGATTTTCTGTATATAAATCACTAATACATGTACATATTTTTCTTCAGAATGACTAAGATACTCAGATAAGACACTTATCTCCAAGACGTTTTATCTTTTGGTGTTGTTATAAATAATTTTACTTGTACAGATTATGGTTGATCTTAACTTGCCCGGCTCTTTGGACATGACTTGAAACGTTCGGTTTCGCGCACTCCGAAAACTCTGGTTTATATTGCCTTGAGTCAGTGTGTAGCCAAAATAATTTGAACGCACTGGCATGATAATCGTTTATGCGAGTAATACCCAGTTTATGAGATATGGTTAGTTTTTATGACAGCCTTCGCAAAAAATGCATAAGAATTGAACGACTCATCCGTTCTCCGATATCTACAGTAACTTGTTTCAAAAAAAGGAATGTTTGTTTGACAAGGATACATTCAGTCCAGAAAATCGAAAATTTATAAAATCGGTTTCTCTTTGGTCCATGGTTTTCGGTAATCGGATACTGCTGTAACTAGCCGCTGTGGCAACAAATGAATCAGAATGCAGAGCCGCTGTTATTTTCTGTAGCTGTATGCACTATGCAGTATGCACGCAAATACGAGCGTGAACATAGATGCCGGGCAGGAATGCTCACGTTTGTGAGCACGGGTGACGGGCGGGGATGTTCACATTTGAGCACCGGTGCCGACTTTTCGATAGCATTTTTGAAAAGAAGATTATAGAATGCCATAAACTTTTTGCAAGCTTGTTTAATACGCTAGTACAGCACGGCAAATACCGTAATGCTGAAGTATAGTAAGCACTTATAAGTTATAAGTGAACGTTTCACACTTGTTCCAGAATTTAGCAGTTACAAATTTTTTGTGAAGGCAATCGAAGTCATCCCAAACTGTCCAAGCTTTTTATTGCAACGGCTAGCATGGATTCCGGGCAGGGATTCAGAGGCGCTGCCATTCTGCGTATACGAGATAGCGTCGTACTAGGTTTCTTAACATTATTTTGCGAGCCGAAAGACCTTCACTTTCTAAGTTATGTTATTAAGAAATTCTTTTGGGGACTTATAAAGTGATTTCCATTGAAACGAGACCGAGCTAATTAGAATATAATTATGTACTAGTTACAGTGTTACGAAGTTAGCATATGGAAACATTTTAACGCACTAGTTGGAATTACTAGATGGAGGCTCAAAAGGTTGCACTTCTTGCATGTGGCAATTAATGATCAACTGATCATTAATGAGCAGAGTCAGTAAAGCAAAAATAATATGAAAACTTGCCGGAAGAACTTAAAACAGTCCAAATACAGGGTTATCGTGCCTACTACGTAATTCGTTCATACTCAGCGAAGTGTAATAGTTATGTCTATATACGTGAGCCACTGAGCATTCCCGCCGGACACACATGCTCGAGAAATCAATGCCGGTTTAATATTGGTACTGATACAGGTTTATATAATGCACGGAGCCACTGAGCCACTAATAATAATTGAGATATTAGCGCCTTCTGATCTGCTTTTCGGGAGGGACAATATCAGCGGTGTCAAATTACCGCACGTCGCACGCTCCTATCTGTCTAATCGTGACCATCCCTGCCCGCGCGCGGCACCTGTGTTCACAAATAAAACGATACTGAATGTGGCCAATGGACATACTGCAATAACGTATTGCCGACTTTTGAATTTTGTACACCGCACAGAGCATAAAAAGCCTTACATGCCTTGATAAGAACTCAATCGCAATAAAGGTTGTATTTTTCAGCATCCCTTCTGTGCAGTAACTTAGATATTATGTACATACATATGAAATTTAAAATGGAAGAAACTTCAAGTTTTCGCAAATTTTACATAATATATGTCATTTTACGAGAAACTTCCATGCAAATTTACTGAGCTTCCGATTTTTGCTCTGTGCAGGAGAAGTTCAAAGACACCGAATAATAATCTGATTTACCATAAATTTTTTTTTCTGTATTTACTTTTTTATTCCCCATTTCTAATCACCTTTTTACGCACCGGATGCTGCTTGCATAAGCATTTGCGAGACTCGTTTTTTAAAGTTTCTTTGTGCAATTCGTATTAATAACTGCGACAGTACAGGTGTTTTCTAATTTTTTGATCATTCATAAACGTGAACATCCCCGCCCGGCTCGCGTGCTCACAAACGTGAACATATTTTCGCCGGCACCCATGTTCACGAGCGTAATGTAGACTGGCTGCCCACATCCACGCAGTGTGACAGCGCAGGTTGATCGGCTTGTAAGTGCGGCTAACATCAACGGTATCCGCTTACCGCACCGTCTTACAAACGTGAGTTTCCCTGCCCGGCACCCATGTTCACAGAATGCAAGCCAGAATGTCTCATATGCGCAGTGGTAATTAGGTAATATGCTCTCAGGACAATTTCATAACCATAAATTTCATAATGGGAGGCATTAAGAATAAAATTCAACTTTACGTGTTATATCATAAGAACGGGGACAGTAAGTAATTAGTATTATGATGTTATTATTGTTATGCCACTTAATCTACTGTAAATCAGCATTTGTTTGTTTACACGCCAGTCGTTGCGTGAATGTTTTGCCCAGAAATAAAATATCTACAAAAAATGGGAGTTTGGATTGTGCGAATACTTGTTAAGCGGATAGTAATATAGTAAATCAGCAATATGTGGTTTTATGTACTATCATGTTTGAAAAAACTTGCAGATAAGTTTTGATGTTTTTGCTTTTTGTCTTTTTTTTGGAACTCAGTGTACAATCTTTGAAACTTTTTGTTATCTTACTCTTGTCAGAATAAAAGACCGATTCAGTCAACGGGATTACCGCGCAGTTACTACCGTGAGCATCCATATTCGGCAATTCGACATCCAAAGTTTTTTTATTTAAAAACGTGAACATCCCGTCCGGGCACACCATTGTTCACAAACCTAATGCAAATTTAATAACTATATAATATTATCGTTTTAGAGACACACAAAGTACGAGCATCAGCCTTGACAGAGAATTAAGGCTTATTATAATCTTTTAATGACAACATTAACGTCCAATTACCGATTACCATACACGGCACAATTATAAGCGTGAAACCGTGAACATCCCCGCCCAACACGCTGGCTCGCAAACGTGAACAACCCTGCCCGGCGCCCATGTGCACGACTGTTATATGAACCGCCTGCATGTAGCCATGAAGAGCAAAACCGCGTCTGATCTGCATAAATGTTAGCGGTATCGGATTACTACATAGATCTTACAACGTGAGCATCCCTGCCCGGCGACCGTACCCACAAATATGATGTACAAAATACCAAAGTGGGCATTGCTTACACATACATTATTATTATATCAGAAAATTAGTACGTTATTCGTCGGTTATCCACAGAAAAAACAAGCAACATCTGCTTTATGTGTTGCACAAAAGTGCAAAATGCAGAGATCAGAGGGCAGCGCGTTCTGTATAGGCACAGAATAACATGAAGTACTGATAGGAACTAGTAGTCCATAAAAACGTGCCTAGGTGTGAATTCCCATGCTGTGTATGTAGAAACATGGCCGGTGTACCGGCTACCTAGTACTGTGACAAACTACACTGTGACAAAACTAATATTTTGTAAGCAAATGATGACATGAAACTATTCTACAACCAAATAATATTTAGTACGAGGCAAGCGACAACTCTTTCCCATCGCTTTAGAAAATTACCTCACTTTCCCTGCTGCATTTTTCCCGTATGCAGGCGCTCACGTGATCATGAACGGAATACCGTAGTCAGTGAGTGCATGCTGTCGTATCTCATTGTAATGAGAGCTTACTGAGCCGGCGATAAAATCTCACCTGCCGCGTTCTTCTATGTACTCGTTATCAGTTGCGCAATCAACTGTAGCTGCAAACCGGTTTAGACGTGAAACGGCTGAAATCAAGTATCACGTGAGCGCCTGCATACGGGAAAAATGCAGCAGGGAAAGTGAGGTAATTTTCTAAAGCGATGGGAAAGAGTTGTCGCTTGCCTCGTACTGGTCTCTAGAAACCCTCCGTGCGCGCTACTTCCGCTCGCTAAAATCCACGAAATAAAAATTACCATATAAGTAAATTTGAACGGCTAGTTCAGCCTAGTTGTGTGCTGTAAATAGAAATTTATTTTGTCTTCTGGCGATTTTATTGCGAGTGATAAATATGTACAGACATGATTTTGGATGAAAACCTGTTTCGTCGTTCTTTCTCAAACTTTTCACCTACATTTTTTAATTAACTTTTAAACGGAAAAATGTCATGGATCTGGCTTTTGACACACTGTAGGGAGGTACTGTTGGGTACAGCCTGACTGAAAAAAGTACAAGACACTGTTTCGTCGTGGGCGAAGGGTCAAGCGTCAGAAGATGCACACGCACTTAGGCCATTGCCGGGACATTTACCATAATTGTTTTTTCAGCCAAAGTGTATTTTCAGCAGCGGAAACTCATATTTACAGTCTTTTTTAAATGATGTCTCAGTCGTTCTGCAGTAAGAATCTGCATACAGAAGGCGTGTACATATATCATTCGTGAGCATTTTCGCCCAGCAAATATGCTCACAGCGTGAACCGTGAACATGTTAACATTCTTGCCGGCTACACACGAGCAGTAAGCGGCGACTGCTGTAATGGCCTTATTATTGCGTTTTAGCTTTAATGTTTCCCTTAGTTATGGCCATGCGGTAAATCGACCGGTGCCTTATTATCAGTTCCCCCGGCTAATTGGTTCTCTGAAGCATTACTTCGCTTTTCGGAGATCGATATTGTGCTGGCACTTACTGTATTGTGCGATCTTTCGTGCTTGGTTTGCATTATTGGTACGGGGATATCGAGACCTTCCACTTTATTCAGCAATAGTGTTTGAGGATAGAATTGTGCGATGTTTTTACGAAATTCTTTGCTCTGATTAAATGGGATTTTGAAGTGCCAGTAAACATAGTTGTATCCTTTGTGAAATCGTATTACAGGTAATAATTAACAGTCTAGAAGTACGTACAATCTGCCGTTACGCTGCCTGGCGCTCGCCGTTACCAGTTTGTGAATCAACGATGAATGTTCTTGCGCTGTGATGGATAACGAAGGAGAGCATTGTAAACAAAATTTAATGCCAACCGATATTATTATTTTAATAATGCGGGATTGCTCGTTATCCTCATTATAGAGTCACCGAATCGAGGAATTTTTCTCAGCGTAGCTTAACTTTATGCAATTATGAGCTGCTTTTTAATTACTGTATTCAGAAGAGATTTTGATTAAACAAGGAAACTGAAGCATCACACAGCTTCAACAAACAGCGGAAACCAGGAGGTCGAATCACAGAGGCTTAGCAACGATTACTAGCTGACCGACTCAAGTACAAGAACCAATATTTTTCTGCGTTGGCACATTAATTTTCCTAAATGAATTATGAGATTAAAGACTTTAACTAGTAAACCCCGCGCAAAATACGCGGAATAAATCAGCGATAAATTTACTTTTAGGAAACCAACAAACCCACGACTACGAATTGAGTGTTATTGATTGAAATGCAGAACAGTAAAAATATATTTTAATTGGTAGATAGTATTTGCCAAATACCTATTTCAGTACCGTTGACTACTTCCGTTGTAAATTATTTTACGATTTCTCATACTTCGCTGAGATAGGTAGCAGTTAGCTTGTATCACGATACTGTAGCGTTATTTTAAACGTCATGTCTACGCGCGAGAATACTCCCGCGCTATGAGTTTTGGCTACGCGCGAGAGTATCTCGCGCTATGAGTTTTGGCTACGCGCGAGAGTTTTTCGGTGCCACTATTTATGAATATAATCAATATATTTCGACATAAATTCAGCTCTGGAGTTGTTTATAGTGCATTATAGTTGTCGTATCAGTCAATCTGCATCAAGTTAGTTAGTTACACCGCAGTCGTTCGGAAACCGGTAGGCATTCCCAGCCGGCGAATTATAGGCAGTACATCAGCTGCCGTTACTACAGCGTTATTTTGGTCACAGAAGTTTTCCTTCGGGCGTTTCTTCCTTGTACTCGTGGAGGAGGTGTCAGTGCTCCTGTCTGTATTATTTCTAAGAACCACTGTCGGAAATCCTCGTCCCGGGCGTAATTGGCGCTCTGGATCTGTTTCCAGCAGAAGGTCATACGCATACGCAAAAGCGTATACCAAGCAGTTGTTACTGCCGGGAGACTGGGCGTACACAGGGACGTATTCGATGGCCACCTGGCCTTTGGTCTCGGGATAAGAGAAAAGGAAGTTGAGTTGCAGTTTCAAAGCATCGGTGGGCATTTGACCGGTGGAACAGTATATTCGCACCACGCCAGGGTTTTGAGAATTAAAGGCGCAAACATAATGATTGTCACCATTGCACAGCGGCTGTACGATAATACCTCCTTGCATGCGGACATGGAAACGAACCCTAGCGTAACACTGGTCGTTATGCTGGCACAGAGCTAACTCTGCAGGAAGTTCTAGCCCGCCTCTTTGAGGAAATGCATTGCGTAGCAGATAAACACCTGCGTTGAGTAATCTCAGCTCCAAATCCGAGCCGAACGTTTTCAAATTGTTGATGTCCTCGCGAAGCACCACTAATTCTTCCCCGAATCGGTGTACGACTTCATTTTGACCATCCGCATGTGCTCAAGTATCCGAACCGCACGCAAAGCGGGCGTTTCTCCTGGACGCGGCGGACTGTGGGGTATCCTGGCCGACTTCCGCCGCGGCATGCCGATATCGTTCCTTCTTGCCGAAGGACTGTTCAAAGCAGCGGGAGCCGGTGTTTCGGCTGGCTGGGGTGTGGCTTGGACTGGCTGTGACGACAGTACGGCTGTCCGATTAAATCGCTGATGGCGCCTTCCTTCCGACGGCCGACCGCGGGGCTTAATGGTTCCGCGAGGTCTGACTTTAAACGTCGGAAAATCAGGAGCGACAGAGTTGCTGACGGCAGGAGGCTCTAGCTCTGGCAAATCGGCTTCTTCGGCGGCTTCTTCCGCGGCTTCGGGGATGTTTGGCCGCTTTGGTGATGTTTCAGGTATCTATTCCTTAGCCAACAAGTCAGGGTGACTAATTACCGGCACAGCTCCACTTCGCACTATGTCCAGGTATTGCTGCAAAGCGGCTATGTGCACTTTAAACTCCACCGCTCCAAATTTTGCTAACTCAGTGGCGATCTCCTTTCCAAGCTCCGTAACAGTTTTGTATCGTACTCCCAGGCTTGAGAAACGCGTTAAGCTGACTCCACAAAGTCTTCTTCTGTGATCTTCATCCGGCTCACCGTTGATAGCTGCATCCAGCATTCGGGGATAAACATCAACTGGGTGATTTGCCGCCGGATTATTGCGGAGCCATCGGGGCAACATGTCAGATACCGAAACAGGTTCAGATCTTCTTCTCGGCGCACGTGGATTATATGCCGACAAAGCAGTCCGAACGAGCAGTTGATGTAACAGTTGCACACAAAACACCGGGTTGGCTGATCAAGTCGCTCTGTCACCTGGTGAATATTCGCAAGATGTACTGAGCGCCGGTCAAAGAAGCAGACGCATTTACCTCGTAAGTTCTTCCGCCTTTGGTATTAGCGACTACCCAGCTTCCTCGTTCCGCTCCGGGGTTGACTTCGTATGTTTCCTTCAGGTACAAGACGCACTGTCCTCTGATGACTCGAGCGGCAAAGTCGGTGACCTTTGCCTCGATCGCCGATCCGATTTCTGGAATTGGGAATTTGTGTAGTATCATCGTCTTTGCCATGTTGATGTAATCCTGGTATTTTGCAAGGTTGGCTTTATGGTCGATGACGGACATGACAATCTCGATGCACTCTGTTAGATGAAAACGTTTGGCAATCGATCGTCCCGATCCGCGCAGCGCTGTTTTCACAGTAAGGAAAAACCTTTCTATTCGATTTGTGGTGTTGTTGCCAAACGTTCTCAGCTCACGCCGCTTTGCCATGCACCACATCGCCGAATCCTTCGCCCAGTTCTTTTCGTAGTAACTTCGCAGCCTGTCGGTGCAACTCTGCCGAAATATGGCTTCCCGTTCTTGGAACATGCCTTCTTGTGGCGCGTACAGTAAACCACGGAAAGCCGTCAGCAGACCTTGCTTCTCCGTGACATTCAACTGTTCTTTTGCGATCTGGAACTTCCATGTCTTTATTGCGTGGAATGCACAAATAAGTAGGGGCACGTCAATAAAACGCTCTTGCAGCACCGCAATCTGCGTGGAATCTTGGTCAACGAAAATGGCCTCCACTTTACTGGTTGCGGCGCTCGTGAATTCCTTTACATGGTCGAAGAACAATCCTAGCGTATCGGCGCGCTCGTTGTCCACAAACCCGATGGCGACAGGCTGACCAAACCCATTTTCGTCCTGGACAACCATTGCGTACAAGGTATAATGTTCCATATTGATTCGATACGTGCTGTCCAAGAAAATGACCTAGAGCCGCATTGTGCATGTTTTATAATGATTATGGCAAAACTTTATGATGAAATTCACAAAATCGTGGCTATACCTCTGGATTGCGCGTGAAAGTCTGCTTCATGACAGTTGTCTGCAAAAAAACTATGCGTAAAGCGTTCGTTTCGTCTTCTGCCACGACCACGTTGAATGTGCCGCTCGCATCGCGCTGCCTCAGTTCTCGTAGAAATTCTGTAAGAATTTCATGTTCTTCTCGGCCTTGCCTCTTTCCCATGCGTATTCTCGTCCCTTGGTTGAAAATGTCTTTGGTAATAAGAGTGCCGGTCGCACCGGTCGACCGGCGTGTTGCGTTGATTGTATGGGCTATAATTCGAGGTGGCACCCGAGTCTCGATTAGCTGCTCCACAGTGTTCTTTTCTGCTTCCGACAGGCGCCTTCTTTCTGGAAAATGTTGGGCGATCGTTTCCGTGACTTCATGGTTATGGTCTTCTAAAGCCGGCACGTGAATAACCTCCATCATGCCGTTCACAAGCTTAAGACGGACCATAGCGTGGCAGTCACTTTTCAGAGTCGTCGTTATACTTTTCTTCGTGGGGGCTGAATTCCGCCGGTGTGGGCGGTAAGCGCCAGCTTTTTTGCAGACCAGCTTCACTGAGCTGTAGGGGAACGTGTCGTGAAGCGGATGCGTCTTTGACGTTTTCGCATTGCCGCCGGGATTTATAAAGACTTGGTGTGTTCGCTGGCTCCAGTGCTCCACCGCTCTCAAAACCTCCGCGTAGGATTCATAACGATTTCCCACTTTAAGTTCTGACGCCATAACGGCTGATAGTTGGGAATACTTGAATTATCAGAAAATGTAAAATGCCGGTACGGTCAGATTTTGTATTTCGTGCACTAAAAGGTGACCTTCCGTAATTATTGGTTGCCATGTGGTGATAAATACACCGATTTAAACTGTTTTTTGGTAGTTTTTTTTGTGCGGGAAAAAACTCTCGCGCGTAGTCAATACTCATAGCGCGAGATACTCTCGCGCGTAGTCAATACTCATAGCGCGAGATACTCTCGCGCGTAGTCAATACTCATAGCGCGAGATACTCTCGCGCGTAGCCATTTCGTATTTTAAAATGTGTGATTGTGTACTGTACTGTGTATCTGTGTCATAAATCTGATAAGTGATTCGTTACCCATCTGCTTTCTTTGTCTACTTCTCCTTAAAACCGGCATTTTCTCCACTTCTGAAATTAATCTTGAACGAGCTAGCGAGCGAGCGTTATAACTGCACTAACGGTTTAGAACTTAATGTTTCCTACTTTGTACCTGTGCTGCTGTTCGTTAATAGAATCCTAACACCAACCGGTTGACCTTTCGCTAAGTAAACCTGTGTAGCGATAGCGTCTCGTGCAGCGGCTGGATTAAGCCACGCACGTTGAGTAAGATTAAGCCTTATTCTTTAATACTTATGAAATTTTTTGTATTCGTTTCGGGGAAACATTTTTCCGTTCCGTTGATGCAGAATAACCTTATATTAGACCCGAAAATCAGACATTTTCCCGGACATGCTTTTTATGTCCCGGACATGATTTTTATGTATTGTTTTTAAAACAAATTCTTTAAGCTTTTCCAAAATGAATCAAATCAATCAGCAAATGCCGGCCAGTTGTTAAGAACTACATATAAGAAGCAGATCCATAATTACTGGAAATCAGATCTATAATTATTTATCTGATATTTCTACTCAATCTACTGGTTTATACACTTTTCCGATCGGAGTCGCCTTAACTTCCGCCTTCCGTTACGTGCTGATTAACCCTCCTCACTTCCTGTTTACATCCAAAATACGCGTTCCTCGCTCTGCTCCCAGAAAACAGTTTGGGCCGCTCCCTACCCCGGACGATGTTTAGACTCGAACCCGTATGCCCGCCGAAAATGGGACTCGTTGTTTTACTCAAACAGCGTTTTCATTCGAACAGGAAAATTCCAAGAGATGGACTCTCAGTCTCTCACAGATAATATCGGCAATTTAGCACGTCAGCAATTATTATTCAGTAATTAGTACGGTAGTATCAAAACCAACCGCCCCAAGGAAGGTTTTTAAATACGAAATCTGGTCAACCCGCTGCGAAAGGCAACTACTTTATCTTTGGAATTTGATTCGTTCCCACTTCCTACTTTCCAGGAGATTTCGTATGTTCAGTCTTTAAAAGGTATCTAGAACTCTCAAAAACCTTACATACATGTTTTTAAAACTAATTCTTGATAAAAACCTTGTGAACTCAAGGCAATCGGCTAAAACATTATGGACACAAAGCTTTCATCAAGACGTGTAAGTAGATTAGAGTTAGCGGAGCTAACAGTGCGTTTCCAATGCTGTCATGGCAGTGGCGGCGTGGGCGGGTTTGCAGTGGTGGGATTTCCACTTTTCCCTTAGACCTGTTGAATTCTTTTAAAATTTTCTTTAAAACCTTGCATACTTTAAGATAACTGACTGGTTTCTGCAAATCTGTAAACTCAGTGCTATTGAATAACATATACGAGTACTGTAGATATCAAAGTTTGGTTCAGTGGTTCGCTCACAAAAGGGAGACAGAAATGGAATCCGCTGAGGCTTAGAGAATTAATATATAGGATTTTCTCAGCTTCACAGTATCTGTATACCGTACATTAATTGCTCATTTTTCTGCTCAGCAAACGGACGCTTTTGGAGCAAGTTCATCCGCATCTGCTGCAGGAAGTCGCAATGCTGAATGCGGTGTCTCTGCGGTACCTCTGACCTTTCACATTAAAGGCGCCGTAATGCGGTGCGGAATCCCGAAAATGTGATCCTACATTATTAATCGAAATTTCTCCTACTGGTTAAACACAACAGCCGTCAGCAAGATCTACTTATTTAACAAAATATTCGTACATACTGTAAATAAAATAATACAGAGTGCAAAGGCATGTACAAAGGACATTCCAAAAGTTGCCCCTATTTCTTATATCCCTTTTATACGCATTCGGCTGACATTGCCCATGTTGTTTAGATAAGTTCTTCAGGAAGAAAATGTAAGGAAAGTTAGCATAAAGTATTACCTAACTCCATCAAACTAAGAAGAATTCCCATAAAAGATCAAACTTGCTTGATCCCCAACCGACAAAAGAAATTTCCAACAGGCAAACCGTTAACAAAATTTTGGTGTCACCGAAAAAGATCGGCCTAGAACTGTCGCATGTGGAGGTTGTTCTAACAAATAAGAAAACTACTAAGGAAGTGCACCACTGTTCGCTAGCACTGAAAGACCGAAGCGAAGCTAACAATATACAGAGCGTATCTAGAAATAGGGAGGTTACGAAAAAACGGTAACGAAAAGGAGTTTACGGGGTGGTCACAGAATTTTTTTTTGGGCGGGCACGATTACATTATAATTTATCTGTGCGTGACCGACGGGACAGAAAGTCCCGTTTTCTTCAACATAGAGGACCTTCGCTTCGCTTCGGTCGATGAAAGTGTACTGTAGCCGCCCGCACGAGTTGCTCCACTGGCGGACCCGGCCGTTGCCTTCTCCCTGCGCACACTGCGCTGAACAGCGAGCAATGTGGATGCAAATATCCGTATACCCCACTCTGTAGAGCAACGCTACAGTAATCAATCTGAGATAACCTAAGAAAAATAAGTAAACCTAATAAACTTAAAAAACCTAAAAAGACTTAGAATCCTAAGAAATCTAAGAAAACTCAATAAACAGAAACTCAAGAATCGTTGGTAACCGAAGTGCTAAGAATCGTGAGAAACATACAGATCACGTTAATCACCAGGTTGATTATTCTTATAATGCATTGTTTTTCATCAATTTCTAGCGAAGCGACGCCAAAGGGCGCGGTCTGCTTCTGTAGTTCCTTATTAGCCTACGTCCGTCTATGGGGGCCATGGCAACAGTCTATTTTCTGCGGCTTCTGCTTCCCCGCTGGGGCGTCTTAATTCCGCAATAACGTATGAACCTTCGCGCCGCTGAGACGATTCTAACGTACTTGGCCGCGTCGAAATCGACCCAGCCGTTCACTCGATCATCGCGGTCATCGTCAATCGTATATGCGAAGTTACGGATGTTCAACACCACTTTACGGAGGACTAATCCGTAAACAACTGTGCCATTACCGCGCATAATTTGTGGAGTTTTTTGGATAACTTTTGCTTTTTTTACGAACATTTTTTATAATACTTTGCTTTAGCCAGATGGTAGCGATGTCTGAAGCCGAGACTGACAGGCCCATGGCAACAATTCGTTTTTTGAGGCACCTCCTTTCCCTGGGGGTGCATCAGGTCGGCAATAGCGCACCGCCGCCCGCTTCGTTGCGACGATTCTGGCGCACTTTACCGCGTTAAAATCGGCCTACCCGTTCGTCCAAACATAATTTTCATAGCAAAGGCCGTCATGGCTGTTACGGATGTCGGTAATTATTATTACAACATTATTATTAATAAGCAAGAATTTGTGGATGAGACTTATGAGACTATGATATTGTAAACTATAAGTAACTTGGTTTATCATAAGTACTTCATCCATAGTTACATAAAATCGAAAAACCAGTAAAATAAATGTTCGTAAGTGATATTTATTGTCATCCCGTATCGACCCTGAACGGCGCGCGGATTATTAACTTGCTGCTAGCCGCCATGTAGCGGCACATCGCGACATCCCTAGCGAAATCTACCAGTGTCTGCGGTTTATGCGGATGATTCTTCATAAGAACATACTAGGCGCACAGATGCTGGTGCGTTTCCGAACCGTCAGTAAAAGAATTTATTAAAACAACGATGTGTTGGAATACTCAACTAAAACAGGTGTGTATACAAGAAAAGCACAAGCGCGATGAACTTATAGGTACAGAGTAATGGGCTTATCGTTGCTGGCAAAAAAAAACTAAATGGTAAATATACCTCATTTACTGTTTCCCAGGAGAGCAGAAAACTTGGAAACCATTTCCATAAAAACACCATGTAGAAGTACCATGATGGCAATACCATTGATAGCATCATTTCACGATGGTATGCCATCTTCCCGTAAAACGGATACCATTCTCTTTACTAGAGAGAATTAATATGCTGCAAGATCTTTGTCAGTCTTTGCAGCTCCGGTTTAATCAAGCCTTGACCGCCTGGGTTTTGCGTCGATTGATGCAGTGCTGAACCATTTTATTACGCACGTAGACGAAGGTCCTCACAAACGCCACCATCCACTCCAGGCTGTCTTCTTTTGAATTGCAACGAGAAAGTGAAGACTAAGACGCGACAGTTTCTCCAACTGCAAATCCTGTAACCCATCAACGCACCACTTTTTGCCGCGGTAGTGCGAGGAGAAACGCGGATCAGCCGACTGCGTCGCACACAGCGTCTGCAATTTAAACTCATAACTCATTGTTGTCAAAATTGTAGTGCATTCAATACGCACAAATAACCAGCATAAGGTCGAAAAAGAAGCGCGGGCTTTTTATCCTAAGCTACGAACTGGTGTGGCGAAAATGCCGAGAATAGGGTTAGATAACAGTAACTGTCGTTCCAACCTTGCACACGACCATCTCCAGCTTGACTTCGGCATTCGTATCCTCGCCACCTTTCAACCGCTGCACCAGCTTTTGCAGCTCCTGTTCATCCGCCCTCGGCAGTACCGCGTCCAGTGCATCCCACAATGCGCAGGCGACATCACCGCTTTGATGCAAGTGCGCCATACTGATGTGGATTTTGATAGCAGTTTTGAACTTCCTATCCTTAAACGCCCTAAGCCCCGGTTTGAGATAAAAGGAGCAAACCAGTGAAACAACACAATCCGCAATGTGAACAGTATCACACGGCAAGCTGCGGCATCCGGCAATGAAATCATGCAGCCAACAATACCCGAGTTCCGGACGCAGCGTTGGCTTTAGAGAATTCGACTCATGCATGCCACAGTCCACCGTGTCATCGATATCGCAGTTAATGGTAAAGTTAAGTGCGACGCGGCGTAAGAGAACGGCACGTAGTCGGATTCCGGACCGATGTTCGGCCACATATTGTATCATATCACATATCATAATGGCAAAGTCGGTGGTTGTCAACCATCCCTCATCCAATAGGGTTATGGTAACGCGTTCCGTGTCAGGATGTAGGGATTTGTACACCGTCGCCAGGCAGAGAAAGTCGTCAGGTCTGCCTTTGGTGTCGTGGTCCCATCGGACGACCATACTGGAACGCAGCGGCGATGCAGTCATGATCTGGTTCCATTTTGCGCACACAGCTCGCAGCTGAGTTTGTTCCATGGTGTCCAAGTAGGAAAAGACGTCCTGCCACAATTCGACCGGCAGCGTTAGCTCCACAAGGTTGTCATCGCCTGCGTGGAACTCAGGACACTGTCTGATCTTGCGGAGCAACACTTCATGAAAGTGATCCAGGCTTTCCTTGAAATCAAACGTACGGCACGTTACAATTGACAACAGTTGCTGGCTGCAAGCCTGCGCAGAATGTTAAGGACGGTGGATGATCGCTTATATTCGATTTTTAGGGATCGGGATAGTGGTTAAAAAGGGTTTGAAATCAGCCGCCAAGGCACTGAATTTTATATAAAGCTTCAAATTCCGGTGGAAATTCTATCAAAGTGCGCGACGGAAGAAACTGGACGGGTAGAGCGGGTCGACAGAGCGGCGACATGCGCGGTTTCCGCCATTAGCCCCACTGCCCCGTTTAATCGTACTGAACAACGGAACAGTTACGAAAGCATTAAAAAGAACATTATGTGCCAGTGAGCGCCACGATGCATAGTGGGCAAGTTGTTAAACAAAAACGCTCGAGAAAATCAGCGCTCAGTTAGAAAACTAACATGCTCTAGGTAAACTGTTTGTTTTCTGAATTAATAAAAAATTTACTGGAAATTTGATAGGTATAATTTTCCGTTCGCTGTTACTGGCAGTAAGTTTCTTATGATTTGATTTGCAAAATAATACAGATATGCGCAGATAGAATTTGTTTTTATTGAACCTTTTTGCAGGACGCACATGCCAGCCTCTCCGCGTTTCATACTGCTGAGGAAATCATTTTACCAAAGTTTTTCTAATGGGCCTTAAAACGTACCGAATGGTTGTCAGTGTTCTTTAAGCCGCCGCCGCCGTTTGCCGTGTGGTTGTTTTTTAATCGGGAGTGTTTTCGACGTACGCAGACACGCACATGTACCCACCCACTCTTCCCGTTTTTCCCCCGCGACGCTAATTGCCGAAACGGACTAATTGTTTTTGCACAAATAATAATTTTGCGGGAAGAGTGTTTCTCTCTCCGCATTGTGTTATTTCCTGCTTAGACTGCGTTGTGGCTGTGCGGGAATTGTATTACTCCGGGTGAGAGGCAGGATGGAGTTCATGTTTTTTTGTTACATTGGGAAAATCGTTCTGCACCGGTCGGCCGAATATTGGGTATATTGGGCCGCCGCTGAAACAAATCGTCAGCATGGCTGCAGACGGTCTGCTCTAAATGGGAATTTAGAGCAGGTCATCTGCAAAGCCGGTGGCAACTGGATAACGTAAACCGGCGCCGACAAAGAAAGTCGGCTGAGAGCTTGAGCCACACGTAACAAAGCATACAGGGAATTTCCACGAATTTAACTATATTTAAGTTCACTATGCTCGCTAACTGCTCTTATACCTAACTCGCGCGCAAATAAATGTTGCATTTTAATATTGTACGTGGCATTTACTTTGCGTCGCACACTAAGTCCTTTACACTGAAACAGACAGGTTGACGAACAGTCTGCCAAGAAGCATCGATTCCGGTGGGGCATGTGCGCTTCTAGCTGTATTACGCTACTTCGTGCGTAAAGCCGTTTTTTTTATTTCGTCCGGCTGATTAGCTAATTCTCTGGTAGATCGCTACCACCAGTTATTGTTGTTTTCTGGATGCGCTGTCGTCTGATTACCTAACCGAAGTTGTTCACTTTTATGATGAACAGAAATAAAAAACCGAATTTAATAATACGGTTTCTTTAGTAGTTTGTATGCTGTAGTCTGTAGACTATAGTGTCAGGCTGTCGGATACAGTAAAACCTGTCTCTACATACACTTGTTAAATACCTGGAAATAAAGTACTTACGCGGAAAATTTAACCGGCTCGTCCCGACGGTCCCGTAGACTATAATATTACGTAATGAATAGAGGGGATCATGTAAATTACATAAACCTGCGTAATAGCCTTAGACACACCTAGACACGCGTTAAAGCTTTAGCCTTAACCGGGACAAACTGCTTGTAAATGAACCTGCCGGGTACATACAGCCCCGTTAGGGAGCGTTTCCAAATTATGTGACCTGAAAAACGCCCTTTTTTGACCCCTCCCTTCCCTATTGTCACGAAAAACGCGCTTCAATCCCCTTTTTTCATGTACCTTTGGTTTTTTACATTACAGGTATCATACATTTTTGAGACCCCCCTCCCCCAGACCTGGTGACGTAATTTGGAAACGTTCCCTTATGGAATAGAAGATTACAAAGAAACAAACTGCGCCCCTCTACCAAAAATTCACCGTCTCGGGCCTGCCCGTCGGCATTACCGATGAAAATCCCTTACCAACAGAGCGTGATCATCCAGAGCATACTTTTCAATATAACCGATATTGTAAATGTATCCTAACTGGCCGTCGACGAGATCCACTACGAAAACTGGTGAGTGCAAATACAGACGACGACCGCCATTCAATCGCTTGATCAGCTTCTCTGTGTCGCCATTGGACAACGAGCGGAATTCCTCGCCGAGGTCCACACTGCGCTTTATGAAAGACTCTGGTCCGATGTAATGTTGGATTAAAGGATGATTGCTTGAAAGAGCTGCCGAGCTCGAGTTAAGATCTCCCGGCCCCGTGGCTTGAGAATGCGCAAAAAGCCGCTGCCAAGCTGATACATCCCAACGTGGGCGAATGCGCTCGATGGGGAGAATATCGGTGCATAGAACTCCCTTGTCGGGACACTGCCAATAGACAACAGCTCCTCCACACCGATCTCGCGACCCAGCGCGATCCACGCAGACCATTTCCCCCGGGAGCCAAATCCAGGGACCCGATGGGCTCTCCGGCAACAAAATCTCCACTGACCGCTGCTGGGCATAGAATTTGTGCTGATCCTCCAAGCGCATGAGACGATGGGAGTAGAAAACGCTGCCAAATGATGAAAACTCCCGTCGATGATCGGGACAGAGCAGATCGACGTAAAGACCATCTTTTGCCACGTCCACAACGCGCCCGTAGCGCATCCGTTGATCGCTGCCGAGAACGTACACGGCGGTATCCAGGCGCATTCCGCTCGGCATAGTGAACCCACGATCTAGGACGAAGAAGGAAAGGTTTTCTACTAAGGATGAGGGAGCTGGAAATTAGTACAAGTAAATTAGTACACTTTAGACTTACAAAAGAATATTCTTGTTTGAGTAGCCTGACTGTAGCTCGCAAACGTACCCCACTGGCACGGCTTTAGTGCTGGTACCGAGAGGTGCTGGCTGCCGAAGAGCTGATTCGTGAAAAGCGCCAGCACATGAGGATCAACGCAGAACAGACAGGCATTCATGCAGCTCAGACGTTAAAACAAACGAACACTTTCTTATTACACTAAACCTGTCTCTACATACGCCTGGCAAACAAATACACCTGGAAAGTAAATACCCTGGAAGAAGAACCGCGCATCCCGTAGACTTTAACATAGGGGGGATCCTGGGCAGTGCACACACTTGCATGATAGGCTTCACATGCACTTCTGCTCTTAACCGGATGCGAAATACCCATGTATAAAAACCTGCTGGCTGCATACAGTCTGGCCAAAACAAGCAAAATTACAACGAAACGTCCTGTGAGCGCGGGATCACTAGCGTTCACGTCAGCGGTGCTACGCCTGTGGCGCTACGCATTTGGATTACGTGTCTGTGTTGTGTCTCGCTTCTGATTGGCTGATGTTTTGTTTAGTGGGTGCGGCATGGCGCACATGCGAGAGCGACTGAATCGGGCTCTTCGCTCAGTGTTGTTGTGTATTCAATTTAGTCATAAAGTTAGCAAGTAGCTGAGCGGACTTCGCGTGTTATTTTCGCTGTTCGCAATACTTTCAGCATTGCTCACTCCACAGGATCTATCCCGTTTAGGTCGCTGCATCTGGATCCATTCTGGATCTAGCATTAGATGGTAGCAGAGCCGACAGCGGTTCTCTGATTTGAATTGATTTGATTCACTTGATTTGATTTGGATTGTCAGGCAAAATTGGCCTGTTATCCGTTAGTTGACGTGACCAGTAAGGCACAGGTCTGTGTGACAGCAAAGCGCACACCACAAGCGGTGAATTGCCTCATCGAACGCGGATTCCCAGCCGTGGTTTTCGGTACAGTGTCTTCAGTGAAGACCTGTGCTGTTCCACCGCTGTGAAAGAGTTCAAGAGTTCAGACGGCAGTGCTCCTCGGTGTAGAGTCTTCAGCGAAGACCTACACTGGTGCCACTGCTACTCGGCAAGGATTCAGCGAATCCTAAGCCGTGGGGCACAAGAGCCGAAGCGCCGAAAGGGGCGCACGGATAAAGACAGATCAGACTCCCCCAAACTGGTATTAGAGCACTTCTACTGTTGTTACGGCAGTCAGCCGGCACAGTAGTAGACGAAAAGCGGGCGGCACAACCGCTACGGAAAAGCGGCAACGCGGGAGCGGAGTGTGGAGAAGAAATTGGATCAATTGGATCATTTTCCCGTGGAACGGACGGTGAACAGGTAGAAAAACCGTTATTAATTACGGGATTGGTTAGCTGGTAAATTTGACAATTTTCATTGGTCCGTACTGAGCTAAGCTTAGACGTAGGCGGAGTTTTGCACACGGCGCGCACGTCTGGCCGTTGACCGTGACGTCAGGCTAATATAAAATCTAAGTGGATTAACGTGATTGGACGGTTATCTGAACTGTGATTGGCTGAAATTTGAACTGAATAATTTGAGCTAGTGGACCAATAGGAAAGACGTAAACAACGTAAATGGGGATTTTCCATTGAAATTAAGTTGTAATGGGAAATTTGAATTGAGACGAGATATTTGATTTGGAAAGTGACCTTTTGAGTTAAGCTGAGTCGGAAAGTGACCTTTAAGACCAGAATTGACCTTTCACTTCTAAAAGTGACCTTTACTAAAAAGTTGGAACTGATTAGTTTGACCTTTTAAGTGACCTTTAAGATCCAAAACTGATCAACGGTGACCTTTAACGAAGTGAAATTGAAGTGAATAGTAGTACAGCGATATCAGCAGCTGTAGGATTTCATTCCCGAACGGGTTTTAAATTGAAAAAAAACGGTTTCGAAGTCTTGTCCAAAAGGTGACCTTTAGGGCAAATCTTTTTACTGGAAAAGTGACCTTTAAACGGAAGTTAACCGAATTTTTTCAACCGAAAAGTGACCTTTAACAGGGACTTAGGAAAATTTCGCAGAACCTAAGTGACCTTTTTAACAACTGAATAAAGCATACAATAACGTGTGTGTGAGAACAATTGGCAGGAGCGTCGAAGTTATCCGATCACCATGGATACAGACAAAGAGCAACCGACATCTACTGGAAGTCAGGGAAGCACAAGCTCCCGTAGTTCACAGCAAAGCGCCCCGAACCCGTACAAAAAGGACTTGCACTCGTACTCACGTCCAGTTGGACATGAGCGGAGCACTCGAGCGCCCAAGGTATTCGAGAAGAAGGATTCACGAGGCTCTGATAGCACTTATCAGAAGGCGCTCGAAGCGGTCGCTAATCAGGAAAGCTCCAGCGACGCCCAGAAGCGTACTCCCGCGTCCGTGGCGGGATGTAACACGGTGAACCAGGCAAAGGTCACCGAAGAAAAAAGTCCACAGAAGAAGGAACGGAAGCAGCTGGGACATCACTGCCGGATGGTCCCACTGCTGGAATAAATGAGCAGGATAAAAATGTGAACCTGGCTCACGTACAAGTTGGAAAGGCAAGGGTCACCGAAGAGGAACTCAACGAACTTGGATTGGATGACCTTTCGCTCAACGATAAAACCATTAGCGATGACCTTTGGGCAACTCCAATGGTCTCAGGTGAATCGAACGAATCGTACTTCACGGACGACGAAACGACGATGAATACGTCGTTCCATACCGCTATGAAAGAAGCTGACCGTGCCGAGGGTATGACACTATTTAAGGACATACCCGAGCACCTTATTGAACGGACACAATATGGGAAGATCATCAACGTACGATCACCGTCACCGAACAGTCCCACATCAACCCTGAAGAGTCGTTTAAAGGAATTGGAAAACGAACTCGCAGCCAAGGAAAGTCAGGTTAGGAAGCTGAAACAAGAACATCGGGACAAACAGACTTCCATGGAAGCTCGGTTATATGAACTGGAACAACAACAGGGCGACCTGGAAAGTGCAGCGGACGAATGGAAAATCAAATTTGAGCGACAAAAAGAACTCGCAGAGGAGTACTTGAGAATGGTAGATGACAGAACAATGGAAGGTCATCTCGCAGTTAGCGACCTCAGTGAGAGCATGTCGGAAGAATCAGCTGAAAGGTCACGGCACTTAGCCGAATTGAAGGAGGAATGTGACCAGTTACGTCAAAAGGTCACTGAAGCTGAAGCTAAACGAGACGAATACGCGCCTAACTTCCCGGAGGTTACCCAACGATTGTCGAAGCTGGCAGCGGAAACATTTAAGCTAAGGAACGAACTGAATTCACGTGATGAAGCCATCAGCATCCTGCAGAATGAGTCGAAAGGTCACCAGAAACGCGCTGATGAAGCGGAGAATAAACGAGAGGAAGCAACCAAAGTGGCACGGGACTTGCGAGATCTTGTAGCCACCGAAGGAGAACGACTCAAGAATGAGATCAAAAAGGTCACTGAGGAGAACAAAAAGGTCACCGAAGATTGCCAAAAAGCCACAAAGGAAGGTCTTAAGTGGCAAAACGAGGCACGTCGGTTGGACACAATGGTTACAGTATTGGAAGTGAAAGAGAAAGAATGGCAACAACAAATAGCCCAACAGAAGCAAGAAAACGTAAAGGTCACTAATGAACTGTATGAAATGACAAGAACAGTGATGAGCAAAGATGACGAAGTAACCGAAGTCAGAACTCAGCTGAAATTAGCTGCTGAGGGATATCAAAAACTGGAAGGAGAGGTGGCCCAGTTGGCGGAACATATCAAAAAGATGGAAAGCAACACTGAAAAGATTGTTCAAGAGAAGACCTTTCAACTCCACCAGCATAAGTTAAAGGTCAAAGAGGAAAACCAGAAACTGAAAATTCAGAAAGAAGAATCCGAGTTGAAAATCAAACGCCTGGAAGATGAGAATAAAGCCCTCAATATGTCCAACAAACATAAGGATGAACAGCTCTTACAATATGGAGCCAAAACGGCCACAGTGGAATCTCCTCCGCCCAGTTACAGTAAGGCACAAGAAACGTGCAAAAGCTACCACTTTGAAATGCCGTTACGAACCGGTACTGGCAAAGGAGGCGCAGTCAAGACGGAACCTAATGACGAAAAGGTCACCGAAGATGATCAGATATCAGATGGGTTGCCAACCTTTGATGAAACCTCACGGTTTACCCGCACCGTCGAAACAAAGGTCATCGTAGATGAAGAACGAGGGGATGAACAACCTCGCCAGCGGGAACGCCAGAGACGTTCCGCTAAGACACGAGTGCGACGGAATCAAGACAGTGACAGCGATAGTACTGAAGAAGATAGTCAGGAGACAGCTAAGGAATTAACAAAGGCACTTAATTCTATGGCGAGGAAAACGAACCTCGCGACCTTTGATGGTAGCCGTGATGCGGTGACTGGTTGGACACGTTTAGTCAGAGACACCCAGAAGACGTATCAACTAACCGATGACCAAATAATGATTGAGATAGCCAGTGCGGTGAAAGAACCTGCAAAAATATGGTTTGAAGGAGAAAGGGAAATCGCACTCGAAGAAGAAGAAGAGTATTCGGTAACGGAATGGCTGAACAAATTTAAAGACGAATATGGTGACCGTGATGAAGAAGTCCTTGGCTTACGTGAAGCCATGGCACGGAAATTTGAACTGGGAAAAGAATCGCTTGATCAGTTTTATCAAGCGATAATGAAATTCAAAGCGAAAAGGATCATCACAGAAAAACAAGCAGTGGGATTCCTGATTGACGGATGCAAATGCGATAGTGCCCTTTATAAGGCACTGCGTTCACAGAAGTGCGAACGCCAACCGATATCAAGGACTTCTTCCGGACTTGGTCAGCCGGAGAAGACCGATACAAAGTGCCAAAAGGTCAACGCACTCAGGAGTACGCGACCATCGCACAGGGCAAGTGGAATCGATACCACAGCAACGATACGCAGCTGCACCAGTTCAGCAGCCAGTGGAACATCGCGTGGAAGCCCCAGTCAGAGAGGTCGCAAAAGAGGTGACCTTTATTGATAGTCAAACGGGACAGCCGATAACATACGCAATGGTGGCTGCAATACAAGCGGCGGCTCAAGTGAGACCGGCACCCCTGAACATGGCCCCGCTGAATGTAGCAGTACCAACAAAACAGGGAATGCCAAATGGCAACCTCGCTGGAAACGGGAACGGAAACGGAAATTGGAACGGAGGTCAAGGAAACCTCCAGAATCAAGGTCAAGGTCAAGGCAACTTCCAGCCAAACAGAGGAAACCAGAATAACTTCCAACAGCAACAAGGGTCACGAACGGAATTTAAGTTTCAGCTGATCGATGGATCGGTGGCAAACGGTGTGCAAATGTGCCAGTGCTGTATGTATGGCAACCACCAAACGCAAGGATGTAAGTTCGCCAACACACCGCCAGAGCAGAACCCGAACCTGTTTGCCTTCAGAGAATGGCAACGGCTGCGCAACCTCAATGGTTGGCGCCAAGCAGTTGCAATGGATATGACCTGATCAACCAGTGGTATCAGACGAAGGCGAACCTTCAGAATCAGCAGGGGAATGGCAATTACGGAAACGGAAATGGCGGTGGCCAGAATAACGGCGGCTACGGCCGTGGTGGCTTCGGCCGCGGGGGCTTCAGAGGAAGAGGCGGAGGCTTTGGCCGCGGAAATTGGAATGGTGGCAACCGCGGCGGCGGTAGTGGTGGCGGCCAAGGAGACTACCAACAGGGTGGTGGCGCCCAAAATATGGAGGCGGACAGAACGCTAACCCTGCAAACAATGGCGGAAATGGGCAGCAAGGAAACGTACAAAGGCGCGCAACAAGGTGTGGCGCCGGTTCAGGGAAACGAGCAAGATCAGTAGGCGCCGGTGAGCCTACTGATCGGCCCGACCCGAAACCACCGGATAAACGGGGAACGGAAAGATCACTGCAGAATGGTACTGCAGTGAACGTGAAGAGTGCAACGGCTATAAGGATGCCGTCACAGCAAGTTGAAACGGCTATATGGATGCCGTGTTATCGCAAAACGAAAAGGGAGCGGCTATACGGATGCTGTCACAACAGCAAAAAGAACTGGGTATCGTGAAACCAGTACAAGTGGATAAAAGATCACCGCAGAATGGTACTGCGAGTGGCAATTGTCGTGACGGTAGCGCGACACTGCAAAAATTGCAGAGAAATGAAAGGTCACCGTATTGCAGCGAGAAGGTGTTGGCAGAGCGACGCGCACAACGGAATGCAAAGATCCAACAGGCACTCTTGACACAAAGGTCACTACCGCAGAATGATACTACGAGTGGAAAAGTTCAAAGGTCAAGGTGCAGCTCATGTGAACCAGAAGACAATGATGAAGTGCACCATTCAAAGTTCCGGAAATATTTCGAAATCAATTACGAGACGCTGAAGAAACAGCAAGCGGAACGGATACGGCTGCAGAACGAGACTGCGAGCAAAGAAAATGAAAGGTCGCCTTCTGTTGGAAAAGTGCAAGCGAAAGGTCAAGGAGCAAGTGCAAACGTTAAAGGTCATGGCGAAAGCGCCATGTTAAAAGGTCAAGAAACGGACTTGACACTGCGAACAGCGCAGCAAAAGCAAAATGATACTGCTGAACGGATACAACAGGTCTCCGATGACTCACTTGAAGATGCAGAAACGCTGCAACGGAAGGAAATGTGGCAAAAAGTGGCCTACAGACCAAATGGCAATCACGGGATGTGGATACCAGTGACGCCGAAAGCGAAACAGAAAGCGAGAATGTCACAAGAGGATTACTGGGACATGCAACAGTTGCGGACACAATGTGAAAGAAGGAGATTAGAAGAATTGGTTACTGGTAAACCAGTACAAAGGTCACCGAACCAAGTCCCAGTATTCAACGCAGCTGAGTATAAGAACACGCTCGCTGATCTGAGAGATCCACGAAATGCACCGCCAGAGAATAAACCGTCAAACTATGGAGAAAAAGTCCCCATACAAAAGTTGTCAAGCGGCGGATTTGTCATGAAGCGCAATAAAAGGTCACGGGACTTAGCGCAAAACGAACAAAAAAGAAGGTCAAATGAGGCGGTAAAAACGCAGCAGAGTAGTGCAGTTGAAAGGTCACGGGACTTAACACAAGCACTGCAAAAAGATGCCAATAATAAGTCACCAGCTCGAACAGATGAAATGCCTTCGCAAATCGATCCGACGAAAACGAACAATGAAGTATCCGCGAAGGTGATTGAATGGATGACCCAAAATGGATATGAGATGGAAACATATGAAAGGTCACCAGACGAGCCGAGAGACAGCGAAGAAGAGGAGCTAAAACGAGCTGACCAGATAACAAGTAAAGTCATTGGGAAATTGCGAGATGAACGGAAAGATGACCGGAAAGAAGAAGTGCTGCATCAGACGATTACCGAAGTGGTTAAAGGTCACAGCACTTTAGCGAACGAGCAGGTGCAGAAGGGTGAAAAGGTCACCACAGATAAGTCTGCTAAGGGAAGAGAACGTGAGGAGTCAAAAGAAACGAACAAGAAAAAACCTAGAAAATTTTATGACGTTCGAACTAACGTGCCACACAGAATTGACAAGCTGAGGTCACAGCACAACAGCGAAAGGGCAAGTGCTTTCTGACATGGATCCGGGACCAGTATCGTTGACCCCAGTGAAATGTAAGATCCACACCTTGAAGATTCAAAACGGAAAATTGCCCAAGAGAATTGAAGCATACACACATGAAGTGAAAGCGGGAGACATAAAGGTCACCGCAATGCTGGACACTGGCGCAGAGACGCCGCTGATTAGTAAACCGTTTTGCGAGAAGAATGGACTTCATATGCTCCCATTGCCACCTGACAGATTGGTAAAAATAAATGGAATCAGCGGAACGTCAGGGTTCATGGTGACGCACTATTGTGTAGCACCAGTGACCTTAAGGAAAAAGACTAGCGAACATTCCTTTTACGTCCGACCGAAATGCGATGACGTACAGGTGTTATTGTGATTTGATTTCTTGAAAAAGAAATTCGTATTGACGGATAATGAAGGAGAGGAAGAGAAGGAAGATGACCCGAAAACAGTTGCCAAAGTTCAAGTCGGAAAGGTCACCGAACTTGCAGAACAGACGGGAAATGCTCAAACCGCCAATAAAACGTTAATCCCAGTACCAGAGGCACCGGGAAAAGAAAATGAAAGGTCACCAGCTAAAGTTAAAGAAGTAACAAAGCGCGATTCGCAAAAAGACTTGGAAAGTCCCTTTTTCGAACCACAATCTGCTACCAAAGATGAAAGGTCACCAACACTCGAACAGATAGCGGCCATACAGAAGGAAGCAGCAAGTGCGGCGAAACAAGCGCTCGTGCCTGGCATGGAGTGGGCAAAGCTTATCCCAGTACCAGAAGCAATGGGAATAAAGACTGCTAAAGTATGGAGAGATAAATTGAATGAAAGGTCAAGAGAACTACCGAAAGAGATAACTGATGCGGAACGAATATTGGCCAGCGAAATTCGCGACGAGGCAATTGAACAGTTGAAAGGTCACCAACTGGATACTGAACCAGAGGTCATCGAAATATCCTCTGATGAGAAAAGCGTGATCCCAATCGAATGTGAACAAGGAGCCACGGAAGAGAAAAGTGAAAAAGATGCTCAAAGGACACTAACCCCAGAAGAACGAGCCGGGAGTTGTCACCACGGTTACTACGATGATCCGTGCAGAGTGCAACCACAATGGGAATGCACTGAATGTTGCCAAAATGCCTCTCAAGATGACCTTTCAGAATGGCCGAGATGTAACGCCGCATTGACAGATCTTAAAGGTCAAGTCCAAAAGGAAGTGAAAAGTATCATGCGGACAAACGAAATGTGGAAACCACACATTGAACGATATCATTGGAATAGATATCGGGCATGGTTATCAAGCGTGAAAAACTTTATAACGTGGAGGGGCAAACTGCTGATTCACTGGCAACAATGTGTGGATAATGGAATCCAAGATCCCCTTGACCCAGTGCTAACGGAACGGAAATTCTTACGAGAATTAGACGAAATAAATGAAGAAGGAGAGATGTGGGATGAAGCAAGAGTTGACCTGTTTTGGGACTTCCGTGTAAATTACATGTTTAAAGATCAAGGGAGAACAATCATTTTTCCAGCAGGACTCAGCACACCGGTTTATGAAGCGTTCGAAGTGTACTTTAATGCACTAAAAGAGCGAAAGAAAAATCATTCGAAAAATACTGGAAAGAATCCGAAGCGGAAATTCCTACATTTGATGTAAAAGAAATGCGAGAATTACAAGTAACCCGGAAAAGAAGGTTACCGGGGTTGATGATAAAAAAGAAAGTGACCTTTGCACCAGATCCAGATGGAGTTGAATACCCAGAACGAGGTGGTGATACATGGTGCATGTATGAAACGATTCCGAGTGATGACTGGGTCACCGAAGAAGAGAGGTCAAATTCAGACCAGTCAGAAAGGTCATTCACGAAAATACGAGTAGCACGGAGTCACCCAAGAATCACAGCGAAATATGGAAGAAAAACAAAGGAAACGGGCAAACCTCTGCTCAAAAATCCAGAAACGAAAAACTTAGCGATTCACGGGGAGACGAAAGTGACCTTTCATCTGAAGATGAAGGAGTTGATGAGCGCCCACTCGAAAAGACTGACAAAGGTCAACTCAATGAACAGCAAAGCAGTGAATCTGACTCGGAGTGGACAAGCTCAAGCGATAATTCAACAACGTCAGAAGATTCAGGTGTAAGTGACCTTTCGGAACAAGAAGATTTATTGGACTTGGATGAAGATGACGAGGTGGATGAAGAAAAAGAACAGGAGATAAAAGTCAGGAGAGTAAAAATACAACGGGCAAGATTGTCAAAAGATGTGATCAGCATCTACAGTGACCAACGAATCAGATTGAAACCGTCAAACTGCACACGTGTAAAGGTCAAGATGGGAAAATACGCACCGGCTCAAAAAAAGTTGATGTTTACACCAATCCCACAAGTTGAGACTGATGTACAACCGTTGGCAGGTGTGACGGAACACAGAGGGAAACATTTCGGAATCGTTATTGCGAATCATAGCAGCAAAATATCAAATCGTAAAGAAGAATCAGCTTTTCGGCTACGTGGAGCCGTATGAACACATGGAAAATGTAAAGGTCAACGCGGGCACAGTAAAGAACGTGCTGGATGACCCCGAGGTGGATGATACAACGAAGGAAGAATTAAAAAAGATAATTCAGAACTTGAAGTTGGGACCTGACCTCACCGAGGAACAGAAGAACGATGTGTATAATGCATTTTGGGAATTTTGGAAAGTCTTACCGACGTCCAAAAAACCACACGGAGACGTGAAAGGGGTCACTCACGTAATCGACACGGGAGACGGGAAACCAGTTAAATGTAACCCGGCCAGAACGAGTTGGACAGGCCGCGAGTTCATAACGAAGCACATTAAAGAAACGTTGGCGCAAGATGTGATCGAGCCGTCAGACGCCGAGTGGAGTTTTCCAGTCGTGCTAGCTGTGAAAAAGAACGGCGACGGAACAATGGGGACAAGATTCTGCGTCAAATACATTTTGCTGAACAAGTTAACGAGGAAGAATAACTACCCGTTACCGAATCCAGATGAGTTGCTTGATGCGTGCGCAGGCAATAAATACTACGGAAAAATGGACTTGCAAAGTGGATTTTGGCAAATCCCAATGGATCCAGCGTCAATCAACAAGACGACCTTTGTCACGCAAGATGGAATGTACCGGTTTAAAAGAATGCCGTTCGGGGTTTGCAACGGACCAGCAACATTTCAGTTGTGTATGGACAAGGTACTGTCGAAGGCGAAAAGAAAGGGTTGCGTCTTTGGGTACATCGATGATGTTATCTTCGCCGGAAAGACTTGGGCGATTTTCATGCAGAATTTGAGAAATGTATTGATGAGCCTAGTCGAAGCGGGACTTACAATAAAGCCAACGAAATGCGAATTCGGAATGAGAGAAATGGGATTCCTGAGTCACATTCTCAGCGAGGACGGAATCAGAATGGATCCAGAAAAGGTCACTGCAGTATCCGAATTCAAACGACCTCAAACTGAACGACAGTTAAGGTCATTCCTTGGATTGGCAAACTATTACCGAAAGTTTATAATGGGATACGCGCAGAAGACATCTCACTTGTACGAACTGATGAGACAGGATAAGCAAGTGAAGAAAGACTGGACAAAGGTGCATGAAGAGGAATTCAACAGTTTGAAACAACTGTTACGTGAAGGTCCGGTATTAGCGAAATTTGACCCGACAAAACCGACCGACATAGAGTGCGGCGCGAGTAAAGAGGGAATTGGAGCGGTACTGTCACAAGACGGCCATCCAATCGCGTACGCGAGTCGCGTTCTACACGGAGCTGAAAGAAACTACGGTGTAACCGAATGGGAATGTCTGGCAGTAGTGTTTGCTGTCAGAAAATTCAAACCGTTTATCGATTACGCGGAATTCTCCGTGAGAACGGATCACCAGGCGCTGACCAACTTACTGAGGTCAGAGACGAATAAAGTTGGAATGAACCCGCGTTTGACGAGATGGGCGAGGACACTACAAGGTCACCAGTTCAAAATTGAATATAAACCGGGAAAGTATTGCGACAACGCGGACGCACTATCAAGAGCACCAATTGAAGGTCCAACATGTCAAGAAGAAGAATTTGACGAGATCCCGAATTTTGGAGACTATAAGAAAGAATTTGATACGAAGGAACCAGCGATCGAAATTGGACAGCTGTTCTTACAGATGGTGGAACAGAGAGAAAAACGCTTAAAGGTCAGCTCAGTTACGGCGAAAGAGTCGGCTAAGAACGCGAATGTCAACCAGGTAAAAAGTTGGTTGCCCACCGTTAGTGACTTAAAGGCCACCGGACTTGGCGCGGAATCGGAAGTTCAAAACGGAAAGGTCACCAAATCGTGTGAATCAACGGAGAATCAGGATGACCTTTGGGAAACGGACAAAGTTGCACGAGCACTGAATGAGTGTCCGATCAAGATGCTGAGATTCCCAAAGAACGCGAAAAAGAGATATAAACCGCTACCGCGTTGCAAGGTCATCAGAGACTGGAACGAAGTTAGCACTACAACGATTCGTATCGTTAACCTGCAAGGCGACGAAGAAAAGGAAGATGATTCGAATTTGCAGTTGCGAAATAGATAGTTGAAAGATCCTCACCTGGCAATGATAATCGATGAATTGGAACATTTACCAGATGCCGAAACAAGATCGAAATTCGAAGTGCATGACCAGTTATGGAATGGCATATTGTACCGAGTAAAGGATAAAAATGGAAAACTTGCAAGGTCATATGTGGTACCATTGTCAATGCGAAGAGCGATAATTTACACATTGCACGATGAGAAAGCAGCAGGCCATCTGGGATTCGAAAAGACGCTGACAGAAATCCGACTCAGATACTACTGGGATCGGATGAGTACTGATGTGAAAAACTACATACTCGCCTGTCATGGATGTCAATTCCGAAAAACGCCACGGAAATGTCCACCGGGAAAGCTGCAAGAAATAAAAGTTGGACATCCATTTTTCCGAGTTTATGCGGATCTTAAAGGACCATTGTTACCGACGAAGAAACGCGGATATAAATACATAGCGGTGTTCATCGATCAATTGACGAAATACGAGATTGCGGTACCAATGAAGACGGCAACGGCAAAAGAGTTTGCAAAAGTGTTCGTAAAGCACGTAATATTGGTACACGGAGCACCGCACATTCTACACACGG